TATGAAACTATTTCTCAAACATGTTCTATTAATCAGAATCTATCCATGTCCTAATTAGATATTAAGAAAAATTACATTTTCAAAAAGGGATGTTTCCAAAATGAAGAGATTTTAGGATTGTTGGCACGTCCCAAATGTGTGTTATCTTTTAAAAAGGAATAAAAACATTATGAATACCAAAATGAACAAAAGTAGCTAAAAGTATGTAACATCATTTTGAGTCGTTTTGCCTGCATGTTTGTGAAGTGCATCTACATAGATTGTTTATCATGTATCTTGTTGGTCATTGAAACTTCTAGGCAATACCATGAGGCGAAGGAAAACTTCAATAACATAGCCCGACAGGTAAAGGGTCTGGAGGCTTTCATCAGCCAGCTGTCTAAGATCATGAACACCAGGCACAACGTCTATGCTGAAATGCGAATGTAAGTTTCTTGGTAAGGCTCTTGGTTGATTCTTGCTAACTGATTTGTAGGGGTTAAACAGATCGAGGTTGTTCCGTACTGAACGGGCCCCACGATTCGGCACGCATGTTATTCGCGGATTATTTGCAAAGTTTAACAATCATCAAGTGAAATTTGCATGTGTCTTTAAATCAGCAAGTATGACATCCTTTAAAGGGTTAGTTCAGCCAAAAATGAAAATTCTGTCAGTATTTACTCACCCTCATGTTGTTCCAAACCTCTGTGTGTTTATTTGTTCTGCTGAACACAAAGGAAGATATTTGGAAGAATGTTTTAATCAAACAGATCTCATTCCCCATTGACTAACATAGTACTGTATGTATTTTTCCCTACTATGTTTGTCAATGGGGAATGAAATCTGTTTGATTAAAACATTCTTCCAAATATCTTCCTTTGTGTTCAGCAGAACAAATAAACACATAGAGGTTTGGAACAACATGAGGGTGAGTAAATACTGACAGAATTTTCATTTTTGGGTGAACTAACCCTTTAATTCATATTAAATCAGCAAGGGCATGTGCATTTTGTGTTTCCAGGTATCTCTCGGTGCGCTGCAAGTACTACTTTGACTCTATGCTGTCCCAGAGAGGCTACATAGGGAAGATGGCATTCGACCATAAAAATGAGGCACTCTCTATATCAGTAAGACTTTGCATGATGATAACATCATGAATGTAGTTGTTTTCTTAATGAATTGGCACTGGATGATTCGGATACAATATTTATAGATTCATGCAGTCTTGTATTATTGAATTTTATTGAATGGCCCATGTTCTTATTGTGTGTTTGGGGTCAGTATTTTTACTACGCATGGAACCGTGACAATACTGATGATCATCATCATCGTTGTCTTCCTCAGGTTCAGCCAGGAGAGGGTGGGAAGGCTGTTTTGAGTGACATGCGGTCTCTGTCTGGAGGAGAGCGTTCATTTTCTACTGTGTGCTTCGTCCTTTCACTGTGGGCAATAGCCGAAGCTCCGTTCCGGGCATTGGATGAATTCGATGTTTATATGGTAAAAATATCATTTTTTTCCAACATTGATAATGATAAGCACCAATTCAGCATATTATGTGTGACTCCAGAATGATTTCACAATGATCATGTGACACTGTAGACTGGAGTAATGATGCTGAAAAAAACAGCCTTACATCACAAGAAAATTGCACTCAGGATTTATTAAAATTGAGTTACTTCAAATTGTAATCATGTTTGATTTTACTATTATTTTTACTGTTTTGTACTGGTAAGTGCTGTAATTGGTCACAATTTTTTTTTCCCAATTTAGCTTTTTTTTTTTAGTTTATTTAAAAGCTTCTACAATGTTAATAAATTATTTTTTACACATACAAAAATTAAGTGTAGTTTAGTAGGTGGCTGTAAAGTGTGTATACACATTCTTTCTTGAAGACATTAAATTTGTTGTGCACTTTGATCTTTAAAACTTTGCAGACCTTTTACCTTCACAAACAGCCATTTTACACATTGCATGAAAGGTAATATTCAAAAAAGCATAATAGGGGCACGTGAAAACAGTACGTCACACTGAAGGACACTGTCATTTTTAAAAAGATACTACATCCAAATCAAAATGAATTTGAATTAAGTCTAAAGAGGTGTGTGTGTGTGTGTGTGTGTCTCTCACAGGACATGGTGAACAGAAGAATCTCGATGGACATGATGCTTAAAGTCGCTTCCAGTCAGCGATATAGGCAATTTATTTTCCTAACACCACAGAGCATGAGGTAAAGAGCTTCTCTGGTGTTAGTGTAAAACTAGAGTTAGATTAGAAGACATTGTCTTATTCTTACAATTAATAACGTGCTGTTCTGCTTTCCTTTTCCCAGCTCTCTTCCAGTTAACAACATGATCCGCATCCTGCGTCTCAACGACCCTGACCGTAGTCAGTCGTCACAGAGGAACTCAGAATGAAGCTGCTATCGGCTGAACGGTGGTTTACATCACTGCACTTTACAGTTCCATCTATACTATAAATGTTTACAGTTTTCTTTTTCAAAGTTGTACATTTCAAAACTAATTTAGTTATTTAAGACCCAAATTTGCAGGTTCTGTTTAGTGCTGCACTTTAAATTTTTCTAAAAATAATAGTTTTTAAGTTTTATAATACAAATGTTATTACAATGTTATTGTCATTGATAATTGGTTGAATAAACCTTTTGAATAAGTCAAAAAAAAAATTCAGTCTTCCATTGTTTTGGTTTCATCAATTCAGAAATTAAAATGTTTTGTTTCTTATTTGAACTCTTTTGTTCAAATAGGTAACCTTTTAATTTCTTTAACTAAAACAATCATGTGTCACTTTATTTTGTTCATTCTTTCACCAGGCATGTGGCGTTGTACTACTGTGGCCCATTTCATGAAACTACCTTAAAGGTACAATATGCGAGATTGTTTCGTCACCAGGGGTCGCTATCCTCTTACAATAACATAGGCGTATATTAATGACGTATATTCCGCATTAAGCAGAATTATGGATCTTGTCGTCAAGCTGATTAATCTTTTATGGCAGAGTGAATACATTGATGTTTTTAACATCACTGTGGTGTGAAGCAGTGCACGATTGCTAGACGTATACCAGCGGCACACGTAACGCGAGTCCCGCGGATATAAAGGAATAAGGACGTTTAATTCTACCGTACTACACGCTGAATTACTCACACATGTCAGTTTATTAGACGAATTAAGCTTGAGGTAACGCCGCGCTACTTCACTTGCTCTAGCAGTTTCATTATCACACTAAACGGCATTTGTGTGTGTTGAATGTTGTTTGTTGGCTGTATGAGACTAAGCTAGATTAACATTAGAGAATAACATACAGATCATATTCTAACTTTTCATCATGTTCAACTATATAACATTGATTAGTTTTATATACATTGATTTGCTGGTCCATAATGTTTGAACAAAACCCTGCTAGGGACGCTCACGCTGTTGAGCACGCATAACGGGCATAACCGACCCAGTTGACCACGTCTGTCGCCATGGTTACTATAGCAGTACGAGGTCAAACCTGGCGGAAACCGGTGGTAACGCAGATATAACGTCGTTGACTGGCGACTCCCCACCCCTGCTCACACGCCCCGTTTCCTTGGTTAAAAATCGCAATTTTCTCACGATTTACAAATAGTTGGAAATATTTGGGATATTGTAAGTAATCAACTAAACAAAATATATAACATTGGCCTAGTGGTTTTTGGATATTTTACTGCAATAATCCTGCATATTTTACCTTTAACTCCTTCCCTGCCACCGACGAGATTCTCCGTTATATGGTAGGGGGCGCTATTACACATCTGAAAGAGTACTGATCTCTACTGATCAAAACGCTGGTGCAAAAGAAGCAGAAACAAGCGATGGAAGCATTGCTTACACACATGTAAGCTAACATGTTTATAAACATAGAATCTAAATCAAAACTGCCTAATTTCACTGAATGAAAGACGAGCTGTAGGACTGTGAAGTTTTAGGGGTGTTGATGGACTCAATCTACTCCACCTGTCTGATCCAGACGTAGTTTTTGAAACAAATACGATTTTCTTGGCTTTTTGTTCAAATTCAAAATGTCGCTTCTTTTAGTGAAACTTGCCCACATTCAAGTGTTGATGCGTGTACCTTAATAAAACAAACGCTGGTGGGCAAAGTTAACTATTTCATTGCTTCCCCATGTAAGGTTGAGTTTAGTTGGAGCAAACTATATTCAAGTTTTTTTTTTACTTGATTTTTTTTTTTTTATATATATGCAGTAAACCCCACTTCCATTGTATATCTTGCTCCAGATGAAAACAATGAAAGCATTTTAGAGATTCTTTGCAGCAAATTGTTTATTTGGTACTTTAGAATATATAAAGATTTTAAAATGACTAAATTTACGTATTTTCTTTTAAATTCAGTCGCATTAATATAGTCATAATTTCTTCCAGCTGCATTCCCAAACATTTGTGGCTGCAGCTGTTTCTTCCTGCCTTGGTAATGTGTTTAAAATCATTTTCATACCGATTTCTTAATCTTCAGTAGAGAAGCGAATTGTGCCGACTCATGAGAAGTGAATCAACCTGATGAGCTCCATGTTTCATTGTGGTTTGGCTGTTCACACTTCTGTCTTCTGAATGGGCAGAATGCAAATAATGCTGTAAATTGTGGTTTCCCAATCCCAGTGCAGTTTATAACAGTCACAATGGCACCGATTCAGTTCTGTAGTAATCTCTGAGCTTGTACTTCAGTTGCGATAAGCGTCTATGTCTGTCAGTGAGGCTCTTACTTATTTTGCTGATCAGTTCCTCTTTGTTAATTCAGTTTGTCAGTGGTTAAATTGTCTTTTTTCGAGGCGGTTCGCCTTAATAAATACATTTGTGGTTTTTGTGATCGATGGTGTGCCAACGGGTGACTGAATATTTTGCATTTTTTGTTGCCTTTTCATTGCTCAGTCGTTGTTACCTAATATTCAAACACGTTATCGGAACAATTATTTAAAGTGAAATCAAGATTAGAGCTTTGTGAATTTTTGTCTGTTATCTTTATTCAGAAATATCTTAATAGTTACCAAAGCCATCTTTTAGTAGAAACATGCATTTAATACTTGAAAAAAATTGACCAAACATAATGATGACTCATTATGCACTACACAAATCATTGTCCAATTAAATCGTCCCTACAATGAGAATGGCCATCCCCTTAATACGACCTGCGACCAACAAACCCTTTTGAACATTTCATTCCCTTTAGAACTATTCTAATGCTAACCCTACCAGCCTAATGATACTCTACTAACACTCTAATGATATATAGATTTCATTTCATTGGTAAATGTTTTTTTATTATCACTTATAATTAACTAAACTAACACTTGCATTTATTTAAAAAATTAACAACAACAAAAAATCAGAATCTTGGTGTAGGTTTAGGTAAGAAAGCAAGACCAAAATAAAGCAAAATTTATTTTATTGCTTAAGCTGCCAGTTGTATAAATATGTTAGGACCTACAAAAATAGCTGCCAGAAATCATCAGCTTATTAAAAACAAATCACAATCAAGTTGTTCTGGTGATAAAACAGGTAGCATAATAATAATTAGTGGCTGTACAATTAACTGTTAGTACACAAATCTAAGTTCAGGGCTCAAGTATTTAGGTAATATAAGTGTCTTCCAATTCACCCCTACAAAACAAAGTATACGTCTAAGGATTATCCAGAGGTCAGTGCGATTCCTGGCCATCAGTCCTTGGTGGCATCAGCATAGAGCAGGAATCCAGAGAACGTGCTGTCGTCCTCGCTGCTGGAATAAACACCGTTCCAGTCCCGCAGAGTCTCCAGCCATACCTGGTCTCCAGATGATAGGCGAAGCACTGCCATGTTGGAGGCCTGGTCAATGTCCTGGCCATAAAGGGAGTCACGAGTTCGCAGTTTACGAATGCCGTTCACCACCAGGGCTGCGCGCAGGGGGCGATTGCGCACGGTTATGTAGTAGGAAAAGACGTAAACTCCCCCGTGAGTGCAGTTGAACTTGCTGCCGTGGGGATCCCAGTGGCCCTCCTCATTGTAAATGACTTTGTCAAACTTGATAGGCAGGCCAGGTGGCGGAAATGATCGGCTAGGAAAAAGACCGACGCTAAAGGCTGAGCGCTTCTGAACGGCAGGTTCGCCCGGAAGGCCTTTGAATCCCCTAACGCCTCGTGCTCCCTTTAGGCCTCGTGTGCCTTTCATCCCTGGCATCCCCCTTTGCCCTGGTGGTCCATGAGGTCCTGGAGGACCAGGCTCTCCCTGTTTACCTGGGGGTCCTGGGTCTCCCTTCAGCCCCTTGGGCGCAGGAAGCCCATCTGTGCCATTCAGACCTGGCGCACCCATGTCTCCTTTTGGCCCTTGAGGCCCTGGCTCCCCCATACTGCCTTTCTGCCCTCTCTCTCCAAATGGACAGTCTCCTTTGTCACCCTTCTCCCCCTTGATGCCATCTGGTCCGGGGAGGCCGGTCAGTCCTTGTATGCCAGGCTCACCCACTTCTCCCTTTGTTCCATTCCAGCCGGGCTCTCCCCTGTCCCCTGGGTCTCCTTTCAGCCCAGGCAAACCGGGATCTCCTTTGTCTCCTTTGAGGCCCATTTCACCTGCGCACATTAACATAGACTAGAATTCGAAATTTAAGACCAATTCTTAAAGGGATACTCCACCCAAAAATGAAAATTCTGTCATCATATACTCACCCTCAAGTTGATGCAAACCTGTATGAGTTTCTTTCTTCTGCTGAACACAAAGGAAGATATTTTGAAGAATGATTGGAAGCAAACTGTTGTTTGGCACCATTGACTTCCATAGTAGAAGACAAAAATATTAGTCAATGGTGCCAAAGATCCAATCGTTCTTCCAAATATCTTCCTTTGTGTTCAGCAGAAGAAAGAAACTCACACAGGTTTGGAACAACTTGATGGTGAGTAAATGGTGACAGAATTTTCATTTTTGGGTGGAGTATCCCTTTAATTGTAATAAAAGGCTACTGGTGAACAAATTCGAATTTTCCCAGATTTTAATATATTTAAGCCATTAAGTTTGATAAGGTCAATGTTAATGTAATGAAATGCTTAAAAAGGCTGTAAAACAAACATATATCACACTATTTGTATAGTAGAATATAGTTTTCTGAGAACAGTCCAAAAATCAACATAGAAAGCATATCATACAGTGCATCAAAGACTGGGTTAGAGCTTTTGTCACAAATGAATGTACCTTTCTCTCCTTGTTTCCCAGTAACACCGGGAATCCCAGGTAGCCCACTCACTCCAGGATCACCTTTCTCTCCTAAAGGAGGAAAGGACATTTGTCTACAAATGTGTAATGTCTACTCTTTACTGACACAGTGATTTTGAATAGATCTCAATCCTTAAGAATACACAAAGGCTCACAAGCAAACAAAAACCCTGAACACTGGTGTGTTTAGAACTTCAGTGGTTACACCAGCTTGCTCAGGCTAGAACGAGAGAAGATTCAGAGATAGAGAGCTAGGCACACAATTTTGCAGACCACCTTTTGTGCAATCTCAGGGAAATGGTAGGTTTTGCCAACTTGTAAGAGCATGCAGGACTACAAGAAAGGGAAAGGTTCAGTCTGTTTGATCTCTAGGCGTAGCAATCTTTTTTTTTAATATTGACATAGGAGTTGTCTTAAAAATACACACGTAATTCTCCTTAGTTAAGGTCAAGGTGTTCACACATGTTTGTTCTCGCAAAACAAAGATATTTGTATACACATTCAACAGATGATTTCCATAATCCTTTGTTTATAATTTTGGATAGACTAACTATAGAAGATGTGAAAAAAGAATGATGGTCTTTGTGTAAACAGTGTTTGCCTGAATTCCTTTTGACTCCTTTATATGGAATCTTAAATGTAAAACGTACGATTATAACATCTAATATATTTGATATAACAGTTATTTCCAGTCCTTTAGAGTGCAACTCCACTGAATTTTCACTGATTGTATTACTCTTCTTGTTTGTGTTGGTGCGTTCTAGACAGACAGTCAGTGTGTGTATTTGTGGTGGGGATTTTTCAAGTTAGATCGTTACCAAAGACTACAGAATTGCACTTAAAGGAACTTTGTCATTACACAAGTAGTAGGTCGTTGAATCAGTTCCTCAACCACCATTTCGTTCAAAAACAGTCTGCATCCAAATATGCCTACAGCCCTTCTATAATAGGAGAAAATCATTGGGTCTCATTCATGAAACACGAGCAGAACGAATTTGTGTGTAAATCGTGGTTCTGGCGTAAATTTTCGGATTCATTAAAATGTTCGTATTTTCCAAATGTTAGTTGGTACGCAAGAAATCTACACCTGCTCCCAGCCACGCGTAAATGGTGCGCTTAACATCCGAACGTTTTGCTCATTAATAAGACTGCATTTTAATTCACATATTTAAACAGCATTTTGAAAAAATATTTTACATAGTAATTGCATACGCTTTTTCTTTTTACTTTTATAATGAGAGCCAGTAATAACAGATCTGGTGATCGATGGCGGGCCTTCTCCAGTTTGAATACGATTTTTTTTTTTTTAACTAATTCGTTTATTGCTGTCAAGCTCAATGTTGAACCATTTTCTTCTCACTTCTGGGACTGTTCAATTAACAGATGAAACTCCATTAACTGCATCTGTAATATGCTGCCAAGCTTTTTTTAGGACCTGATACGCCACTAAGTACGCTTGAAAATAAAATGTGGCGTTTTGAATGAACTTCTGATAATATTTCTGCATCAGAGAAATCTTTCTTTTTCATTCGCATTCATGTTATTATATGCAGTCGGATATAATGTGCCTGAATTATAGTATAATTGAGAATGAATGTGCACGCGCATCCCATTTACGACTGGTTGGAATTCATAAACACACACACTCATTTCACTATCACATCTGACGTTTACGAAGTATTTGTAAATCAGGAGAAGAGTTTTCGGGAAGGTCTCTTTACGCGCAAAAAACGCGTTATTAACGGTGTTAACGCAAACCCATTTTAACGGCGTAAATTTTTTTATCGCGCGATTAACGGTCTTTTTGGCCTAGCAAACTTTGTAGTTTTTTTATTTAATATGCTTTTGCAACAGGACGCGGCGCTATGAAACCCATTCATTTCAATGGCTTGTGCCGCACGAGGACGTTTTGTTACTTCGTCAACCAAAGCGCAAGCGGATCTAGCTTGACCAGAAACAAAACAACAGGCACCCTGCACACACTCATTTGGGCTTACGAGCTGGCCAAATAGTTGGTTAACGTTACATTTTAAGTGGATGACGAGTGCGAGACGCCAAAATGGATGCCAATAAGATTCTGAATGGAAACTTTACTTTACTAAAAGTTGCCAAATGGTTCGACAAATGGATTGACAAGACCAAAGTGATCTGTTTGTTTTGTCGTTGTGCACGGAGCTATCATCGCAGCACGTCCAGTCTGAAAAAACGCTTGATGATGGCCAAACAAACCCATACACAGATTATTTTCTCCAAGTGAGAATTTTAGTGTGAAATTGAACACCGTATATGCCAATGTTGTTTTCAATAAAAAACATTTGCACAAAGCAAGCCGATTTTCCATGTTGATAAGAGCATTAAAATGAGAGAAAATAATGAGACAAAAAGAAATTAAGAGACATTTAGAATAGATAATAATGTTTGATTAATCGCGAGTTAACTACGACATTATTGCGATTAATCGCGATTAAATATTTCAATCGTTTGACAGCACTAGTATGTAGTATTCATAAAACAATACCCATGCCATGTGGAAAGTACCCAGATGACGTGCTACTACTGAGATTGCAAAGTTTGCATCCACATTGTCACATGACATTTGGATTTCGTTCATACTATATAGAACATACATTTTCAATGGTCGCGAAGTTCATTCCTTATAAAATGTATGCGATCGTCGCGATTTCATTAATTTATTTAGAAACGTTTATGAGAGAGTGATTATTAGCTATGTTTTCATCCAAAGTTGCGAATTAAACTTATGCGCAAACTTTGTTATATCGTATTGAACATTTGCGAATAAATCAATCATTTCCATCAGTCGACAAGAACAAAATTGTCACTTGTTTATAAACTGTCGCAAAATATCACAAAGAAAAATGGAAGTTGGTGCAATAGGAGAACCCACTTTATATACAAATTTTTCATGTAATAAATGACTTGCGCCTCAGATTGTGCATTTCTTCGGCAGAGCGAAAACAAAGTACCAATATTACGTCTTGTTCACTGAACTCTTTTGACCATCCCTTGCTCATGCTTAACTTGAACACAAGCACATGCCATTAACATACTGACCACTTTCTCCACGTGACCCTGGAGCACCAGTGAGTCCATCTTGACCTGGAGCTCCAGAAGGTCCCATCTCCCCCTTCTCCCCCGTAACGCCTAACAAGATTACAAATAAAGTGAGTTTAGATTAATTTAACAATTGATACGGATAGCTACCAACTAGGCAATTACCACTCGTCTTCTTACCCGCCAATCCCTTTTCTCCTACCGGTCCTGGAGGACCTCTCTCTGGTGGACAACACTCACAGAAGTTGAAAAAGCACTCGTTGTAGTCCAACGTGTAGTTCCCAGGGCCCGCCCCAGGAGGAACCATGGCCTCCGTGTGGTAGTCGGCAGAATACGCATCGCTGGAGTAAGTGGTGCTGTCGGTGGGGGAAATCGAGTACGCATCCATCATGGAGTCCGTGACTTCCTCGGTGACGCCGATAGCGGTGGGACTCACAGTGGTGGTGATCGAATGGGACCCCAAGCGGGGGGGCGGCTGTGGAGGACCTCCATCTCGAGGCGGAGGCTTCTTAGTGGGTTTCAGTCGCGGCCACTGTGTGGTCTTGGATAGTGATGCTTGAGTCCCTGTTGTTACCTCCAGCAAGGCCATCAGCAGGATGACAAGGTGGAGAATATTGGGCATTGTACCAATAGCTGCACGCAAACAGCAGCTAAATGCACTGAGGACAGAAGTGGACACCAAATGGACGTTGATAAACTAGGTCTTTTCGTTTTCTAAAGAAAAACATTGTGCTAACACTTACCACGTCGTCGAACTTCAGTGCCGCTTCTCCGTTCACCTTCTCTAAGAGAAATCTGCATCCAGATCACTAGCTTTTAACAACCTGTGCCTCCCCGTCCCCCCTTAGTCCAGCCAATGAGAGTGTTTTCTGCAGCATGGGCAGGTGACATACACTTGGCACAGATTGGAGGATTTGATACTCGAGGAGAAGCTAATGTGATGGCTTTAGAAAGTAACATATCAGTCCACCTCATTCTCATGCCTCTGTTTCCCTCGTGTTATATCACGTAGAAGGACAATTAAAGTGCAGATGTTTACACATCATGGGCATACACACATACACCTGTCTGTATCCTCTTCATTTTCCATATGACTAAGAATCAACAGGAATTTGGTACAGTAAAAACAGTGTGTGTAATGTAATTTACAAAGCTGATTTTTTAGCATCATGATCCTTCAGAAATCATTCTAATAAGCTGGTTTCTGTTGTTTATTTTAAACCATGAAACATTTCTCCTCGGGATTCTTTAATCATCAGAAAGTCCAAAAAAAATAGCATTTACTTAGACTTTAATTAGACTGAATATAATTTGCTGGAGGATTTACTTTTAAATGATTTTCCCTCAGAAACTTCTAGTACATTTCACAGATAATTACAAAGAAATGTCAGGTAACACAGTTAAACATTACGAAAATAGTATTTTCTGTAAATAAGATTTTGTAACAATATAAATGCGTTTACTCTCGCGTTTGATAAATTCATGGATCCTTGCTGAATAAAATGGACCCCAAACTTTGAACGCTATCATGTATTATAAAATATTTAACTGATCATATCAGAACAGCGATACTCTCTTGCAAACTTTCAGAAGCAAAATTGTGTGTTCCACAATGTGAAACAAAAGTTGAGTAAGTCATGATTTTCCCAAGGATCAAAGAGAATCAGAGACTTTTGGGGGATTTTTGAACGGTCTCAGCGGAGAAAACACTAACACTTGGGGGGCGAATGGTCGTGTATCCTAGACGCCTTCAAACCCTTCCATTAGACACACAGTCTACTTCCTAACAGTATAAACGCACAAAATTTGAACGAAGAAACCTTGGGTCAAAACTGCCTTCTACTGAAATGTGGCCTGAATTCTGTGTAACTGGTCCTTTTGGCCGAAGCTCAAAGGGAAGCTAAATTATCAAAGCAAATGAGACGTTGGCCCATGAAACAAAGTCATGGCAGTCATTCTGTGGCCCTCCTTCAAGAAATCCAGCACTAGTGACTTTTATATCTCAGGGGGTTACTGACCAGAGTAACCCCAGAGTTAAGATGTTCATCTCGTACCTCTCAATGCGATATGATGTCTCCCAGGTGCAATGACATCATTCAAGGAAAAACACTTTTCAATTACACCTGCAGTGTTTGTCAGATCAGCAGAGTGTGATTAAAGCACGACTGTGTTCATGACCGAGGTGTGTCATCTGGGTATAATCAACCTCTTCGACAATACACATTTTATCTAAACTTTTAGGAAGAACGCTTCCTTTTACGGTCCAGTTACCCATGTAAATACTATGTACTTATTTTAGTAACTACAATTACTGGGTAATAACTAGTACTAACCCTGAACCTACCCCTGTTCCGTGTACTTACCTTATATTAGCCAGTACTGTCTAGGTAAGTATACTGCAAGTACTGTACTGTAAAAGGAAGTGTTACCGAAACTTGCTGCCACAAAACTGGGGTGTTATCTTTTGAAAATGTTTACGTGACTAGCATGTATTTAAAGTGTAAAAATTAATGTATATTACATTTTTAGAAATTACATAACATTTTGTTAAAAGTAGTATAAACGTTTTTCAAAATCAATCACGAACTTGTCAACAGTTTAACTCTAGATTTTTAAAATATTTTGACTCCAAAGGGAGTTATTCTCTGTATCGGTGCGCACTGTTTCTGAACTCACTGAAACTTTTCTCACTTTGAACACACAAAATTTCTACGTGTAACCAGTTCTACTCGACAGTTCTACTCAAGCGGGATTCGAACCCTGGTGTCTGGTGTCAGTCGCCTCTTGAGATCAGGAGAGTGAGGTTTACATACTAATGGTTGTGTTGCGACGTCACACTTGTAAACATGAATTCAACATAAAAGAAATAGTAATACATTCAAAATGTAAATGTATACAATCTAATCAACGGTAACACTTTACAATACGGGTTCACTAATATGTTTTAATTCACACTTAACCACTTAACTGTCACCGTCCCACAGGTGGGACGTTTATGGAAGGCATTTTCTGCCGAAATTAAATAAATAAATTAAACGATAAAAATTAAAAATAAAACAAGTTTAACCATTTCATTACAGAAAATGGTACGCAGAATATGTGACAAAATTGATAATGAAATTAAATGATTTCATTTTCATTTTCATGGTGATAGTGCATCATCCCTGTCAAATTGAAAAATAAAATGCAATTGGTGATTTCACGTTTCATTTTCACTACAATCTCGAGACAAGACTGCCAATATTAAAATGAAAAAGGCAAAAGTGAAAAGAAACTCCAAATACAGTTTTCACAAAGCTTTTTTATTAACATTCATGCTATAATAGTGACAGAAATCAAATTCAAATGTAAAGTTTAGTTTTAAATTTTAATCATTTTATTTCCTCTTTTATTTCACAGTTTTGATTTTCGTTTTCATTTTCAAAGACAACCTGTATGCAAATTATATGTTAATGAGTGGGTGTGGTTCGCAACGCCGTTGCGTGGAGGAGGGAAAATGTCGGTTATGACCAGTATAGCAGCAGAGTTAAACCAGCTTGCAAATATTTCGGATGATGATGACTTCATTTTGCTTCGAGTTGAATCTATCTTAGACACACTTGGGCACTTTGCAGCCGTCACAAACTCCGATGTCGATCATCTAGTTGTTAATAATCTAGGTGAGGTTGTGCAGTGCCTTCAGGCAGTAAATTGTCCGGGGAGTCTCGTTTAATGTAGGCCTACATTAAATTACAAATAAAGTGCACAATATATATTTTACATGAAAAACGCTTTGCTGACTTTTACGATGTTACTACTAAACGTGGAAATGTAACTTAACCAGTCCGTGAAAACTGAAAAGGGTCCATTTTAAATATAACGTTACGTGCAACAAGGTGAAAGCTGTTCGCTTCAGTTCCGTTACCTCATATGATGCTCTTTCATCCTCCGTCTGATGGTTCTCTCGCTCGCTCCGAATAAGTTTGCTACCTCTTGAGCAGTAAAACCATTTAGAAGATACATCCTTAGCGTTTCTACTGGGATGTCATACCTTGGACGACCCGGGCCGACGAGACTCCCCGGACAACCCATGTTGGCACTGCACAACCTCACCTAGATTATTAACAACTAGATGATCGACATCGGAGTTTGTGACGGCTGCAAAGTGCCCAAGTGTGTCTAAGATAGATTCAACTCGAAGCAAAATGAAGTCATCATCATCCGAAATATTTGCAAGCTGGTTTAACTCTGCTGCTATACTGGTCATAACCGACATTTTCCCTCCTCCACGCAACGGCGTTGTTGCGAACCACACCCACTCATTAACATATAATTTGCATACAGGTTGTCTTTGAAAATGAAAACGAAAATCAAAACTGTGAAATAAAAGAGGAAATAAAATGATTAAAATTTAAAACTAAACTTTACATTTGAATTTGATTTCTGTCACTATTATAGCATGCATGTTAATAAAAAAGCTTTGTGAAAACTGTATTTGCAGTTTCTTTTCACTTTTGCCTTTTCATTTTAATATTGGCAGTCTTGTCTCGAGATTGTAGTGAAAATGAAACGTGAAATCACCAATTGCATTTTATTTTTCAATTTGACAGGGATGATGCACTATCACCATGAAAATGAAAATGAAATCATTTAATTTCATTATCAATTTTGTCACATATTCTGCGTACCATTTTCTGTAATGAAATGGTTAAACTTGTTTTATTTTTACTTTTTATCGTTTAATTTATTTATTTAATTTCGGCAGAAAATGCCTTCCATAGGACGTTTGCCACTATATTTTTAAAACAATAATATCTTAGTAAATACCTTAAATATTATTGACAAACTATATATCATTTGAAAGCTTACAATCTCTAGTTTCCATATTTGGTGACTGATTTTCAAAATATATTACAGAGGAGCCATAATTTATCAATATAAAACAAGAATATTTTCATACTCATAAGGCGTGTTCAGACCTTTATTTTAAAATAGCAGTAAACATGAAAAATCATGAAAAAATGGTAGATACCTCAGTTTGTTTTCATGCCAAAAGTTCAAAAGATAGAATCCATTCAATTATTTTGGAAAAAAAGGTTTGAAAAGTTTCAAATATCAAGAAAAAAATAATAAATTCACCATTTGTGACGTGGCAGCTAGCTATGACTTACATGCGTGTTCTTTGTATGTGTTTCTTAAAGGTTCAATTCATATCAAAATCTGCCAAACTTCCCATGCTACTTCTGAATAGGATCTCTACTTCAGAAATTGTATGAAAATTGTGAAAATAATGGTTCATATCACTCAAAACAGGAATGGAAATGCAGGCGCCCTTATATGGGCAGTAATGGAGTCTGATTGTGCCCTAGTGAAAAAGTTTGGTACTGCGCTCAAACAAAATCTTACTGAAAGCTCATTTTTTGAGATATCAACCTAAAATTTGAAACACAACTTGTTCAGATTTTTGGCTTTGATCTTTCTGCCATTTTAGAGTAGCCCAGGTTTTGAAAATATATATTTTATGTAAAATATGAATAATTAATATTTTTACATTGTACATTTCCATAAACTCAAACTTCTATAACTGTTTTTCTGTTTCACTTTCTTAATTTATTTCACTTCTACAAAAATCTGCCAAATGTCTTCTTTAAAACAAGACCAATCATATGTCTATATTCCAAAGCATTCTTGAATTACAACCATTTAAGTTCGAAATGTGCATTTTCATGTCTATTCAAAAAAGGGGGGGTGACAGTTAACAGGTTAACTAAAGCACAGATAATCATGAGTTAATGTATAACTCATGAAGAATTAAACCATTAATTAATGATTATTACTGCATCAGCAACTAATAAATAGTCTATATGATTAATAGATTAAGTGATACACAATGTGTCATTGTGTATTAATTCCTTGATAACATATTTTATTAACAAATAGTGTAAATTAATGTGTTGATTACCACAATGAGTCAAAGCTATGCACTTCAACTTCCAGTTGTCTGCTTTAATTAATCATTAGCTAATGATTTGCAAAGGTATCATTATGTTATGACTTTACTTGTTGGGGCACATCATTATTAACTAGTCATTTAGTAATTGTAGTAATTTGCACATGAATCTGCACTAACAATGAAGTAATTAATCATGTATTAATGCATATTAGTGTACCTGTCATATTATCTGGAAGTTGAAATACAAGGCTTTGGCTCATTCTGGTAATTAACATGCTAATTAACATTATTAGTTTAAAAAAATGAGTTATTATGGACAACAATTCATGAACTAATACATTAACCTTCCAGACTCTTAATTAGTTCCTAATGTGATAATCATTAATGGATAGCTTAGATAGTCATTAGTTACACATTAATTCAGTATTATCTGTGCATTAGTTAAGCATTAATTAATGCTTATTAGTGCACCCGTATTGTAAAGTGTTACCTAATCGACTTAACTGCAAAAATATGCGTTAATTGAATTCAGCCAAGAGGTGACGTGTCAATCTTCTACTGGTCACACAACACACATCTTCACCAGAGCGAATTCGCAGTTCACCAAACTGTTTTAGTTCCACCCATAATCAAATTGACCAATCACAAGACACTGATCCAGCTGACCAATCAGAGCACATTGTGCTTTTCGTAAGGAAGGGCTGCATAGAGACAGGAACTAAACGAGTGTTACTGACAGACTGGGAAGAGAGGTGCTGCAATAATGTCAAATATGTTAAAAAGTAATGTTTTTTGAACATTCAATCATTAAACCCTCTTCCAGTAAACCCCAAAAACAAAATCAAGACTTTGTAAAAGGGCATAACAGGTTCTCAGCAGTGACCCAACAACCATTTTGGGTTCCCCACAGAACCATTCCGAGAACCATTAAAAAAAACCCACAGATGCCAATAAAGAACCTTTATTTTTAAAACTGTATGCACTGAAATCGAATACTATACAGGTTTATTAAAATCTCTAACTATTAATAACAATAGTAGCTGGTGATGCTTTCCTTATAGCAAACAGCACTGTTTTAATAGGCATTACCCTCTCCACTTACAGTAGACTGGTCTAACACTGTTTCTGTGTACACAAGGGCACCATTTGGGAGAACGAGGGGGGGGATGCAGTGGGTTGTTACTTGAGCCTGAGATGCACACCCTCTCGTTGCCATTACAAACGCCATATAAGCTTCAAGAGGCTCAAATGTCCTATGCTAAATGACCAGGTAGGCAAAATTGAAACCATTAGTCAAACCAAAGATCTCCCTCACTAAGCTTCCAGTACTAGTAGTGCACCACAAAATAAATCCCAGTGGACTTCTATGACGAAAAATGAAATCAATAAGCCATTATTCAGCCCTCTATAGAGGTCAACAATGCTAAGCACTTTTCTGAATCACAGTTTTGCATCAATTCATACATGTTTACTTGCTGCATCCATAAATGGATCCTTCACTGGACAAGCCATGCAACTTCATGGCAGGGCATGATGTAAAATAACTGGTTTCAAAGAGTTAAAGGGATAGTTCCCTCAAAAATGACAATTTTGTCATCATTTTCTGACCCTCATGTTGTTTCAAACTTGTGAGAGTTTATTATTTGTGTTGCACACAAAAGAAGATATTTTGAAGAATTTGGGTTATTAAACAGTTGATGACACCCATTGACTTTCATAGTAGGAAATTAAATATGGAAGTAAATAGGTGCCGTCAACTGTCTGGTTTACGGGTTTACAACAATCTTTCAATCACAAATGTGTAAAATGCACATATCATTTCTAAATTGGTGACTGACTTGTAGTAACATGGACATTCAAGTCAAGTCATTCATTATTATATTTTCACTCCCTCTTGATTAACATATGGGAAAAGTACATTTAGGACATAATTGGTCACCAGTTTTTCAATATACACACAAAATAGTCAGAAAAACGTTTTAATGATACAGTTTATTGAACCTGAAGACAAAATATAAGAAAGTTTGCATAGGCCTATATGTTTTATGTATTGTATGATATTTGATACATAAGGCTATTATGGACCATAGTGATATCGGAGAACAGATGGTGAAAAAAACATAAATTTGATCGCCCAAACTGAGGATAAAAACATGCAATTTGGTGCTTGTGTTGTTATTTAAATGGTCAAAAATCATGAAATTCTGATTGCTTGTAATGTACAAAAATCTAAAATAACAAAACATATAATGCTAAAACATATAATGTATAAAATGATACAACACTCTCTTGGGGAACATTTGTACAACTTTCAATCATCATTGTATTGATTGAAAGCAATGCAATACAATAATGTAATACAATGATGATTGAAAGATGTACAAATGTTCCCCAAGAGAGTGTTGTATCATTTTATACATTATTTTAAAACAATCTAGAAAATGATATATGGATAATATAAAAGATTGTGTAAAACATTACAAAACGGGTAAAGTTTTGATAAATTAGAGGATTAAGAAATAGGCAAAAAAAAAAAACGTTGTATATTCATTTTGAATTCTCTTACAGTGTGGCAAATTACTGCAAAATTTTACAAAAAAAAAAAATGTTTTAATACTTTTAAGTGTATAATAATATATGATGTATATAATGATGTATTCGTAGTTTAACTATTTCTTCCAAAACCTTTTAGCATTTTGTTTTGTTGGATTGGGATGCTAAAGTTGACATTTCACCATATATTTTTGTATATCCTATTTTCGCAAAGAACAATATATACACCAAACAAAGGGCAACCATATTAAATATTCTAAAACGGGGCTTACAGTTTCAGCGTGTAACAAAAATAAATGAATACAATAGCCTAATTATATATAAAAAATTTTAAAAAAAAAAAAACATCTAGATGAAATAAATATTAGGCCTAAACCATTCTTCTCTAATTTTTGTACAAATCCAACTAAACAATCTACTAAAAGTTATTAAAAATATTTCACAAGACTGTATTTGTGCTTATGAAATCTACCCCCTAGGCTACTGTCAACAGCCTGGCACTGTTTTTTTTTTTTGGTTGTTTTTTAATGCTTGAAAGAACAGTAACACCAATTGTCCTCATTGTCATACCATAACAATATAACAATACTCCAGGGTCCTTCCGTGAGTAGCCCTGTTTTTTCTCCTGAGCACAGCTACGTATGACGTCACGACCTTTTAGTCGTCGATTGGTACGTCACGTTGCGGCATCTGTAATTCCAAAAAAATAAAAACAGTTTGTTGAAATGGAGTCTGACGTAGGCTTCTCAAGCTAACGGACAGATATGATGTAATTTCTTTAGCGTTTGTGTCTTTTTTCCCGGTGCTGCAGTCAGTCGGTCACGGTGCGCGCGGAGGAAGTCAGAAGAACAGCAGCATGACATGTGCAAGTGACGACGAACAGGCAACTAGCGATATATAGCGTGCTTTGAAACTGTCGGTGACGCACGCGAACGGGTAAATAACAGTCCATTCGGAGCGGAGACTCGTTGAAGACGCTAGCGAGCGGCACGGATGGCTTTATGGGAGGGAAAGGATTCGCTGTCGATGGGGGTAATGGGATCTGTGCGGTTATATGCAGCCCGTCGGTAGGGCAGAGCAAAAACATACTGCAACTGAAAGCACCGGGATCTCTCTCCATCTGCACATTATAATATAACCGCCGGATATTTAGGCGTTTGCGTCGCTGTGTTCGGGCTTTCAGGTGGGATCTCACACGTCGGGCTGCAGATGGGCTTTAATATCGGTCAAATGAAGTAATTTGAAGCCCATACTTCAGTCCCCGTGTGCAGTCTTGAGCGTGTGATGATAGGAGACACAATGACGCTTTTGTCTCTTTTGGGTCGCATCATGCGTTATTTCTTGCTCAGGCCAGAGACCTTGTTTCTGTTGTGTATAAGCTTGGCCCTTTGGAGTTACTTCTTCCACACGGACGAGGTGAAAACCATCGTTAAGTCCAGCCGGGATGCCGTGAAGATGGTGAAGGGGAAAGTGGCGGAGATGATGATGAACGACAGGCTCGGTGGTCTGGATGTGCTGGACGCGGAGTTCTCCAAGACGTGGGAGTTCAAGAACAACAATGTCGCGGTGTACTCGATCCAGGGCCGAAGAGATCACATGGAGGACCGCTTCGAGGTCCTCACCGACCTGGTCAACAGGAGCCACCCTTCAATCTTTGCCATTTTTGACGGACACGGCGGGGAGGTAAGAAGTGTGGATGCTGAGGAGAGTCGTCGAGAAATATTAACATACGAAATGTCCGTGCTTCCCAGGACGATACGTTACCATTGTTGAAACGTTAAGCATAAAAATAATGTTCGAGTAACGTTAGAAATTGGTTCCCAAAATAACCAAACACGTTCTGTGTTATTTGGGACGACCTTCAACGGAATAGTTCAAAATGTGTTTACAAGCCCTCGTGTTGTTCCAACCCCGTATTAATTACTGACTCACATCTGTGGAACATAAAAGGGAAAAATACCAAGCAAATCATGAGCTCTCTTTCTTACACTACTAAAAGCGAATGGGGATTGATTTCCCAAATGTCAACAAATCAAAAAGTTAATAAATTACCAGAGAAATCACTTTGAACAGGTGCCGACGTAGTAGTAGCCGAATAAGAGAGTGAATATTCTGAAAGGAGCAATTTAATTTGCACAAATGTTCACACGTCCATGGCTGTTTAACCTTATAGGGTTTACTTCTTGCGTAATTTTACTCCATACAATGAGTAAATTGTCTTTTGTGTTGGATGTAAGAAAGAAGATTGAACAGATTGGAACAACATGAATAAATAATGGGTGAACTGTCCCTTTAAGTGACTATTTTCAAGAGTGTATACACTAGGCTACATTATCAAACCAATGGGCTAATTAACAAAAGTTGTCGTTCTGACTTAAATCTGACCAACATTTACTGTGCATTGCACGTTTTCTGTTTACTTTTCTGTTTTTTGTTTTGGTGCTCCCTTAATATCATGGTGTCGGCCATTAAAATGATACTTTTGATTGACCACAACTAAACCCCCCTCAAAATACTTATGTTTCAGTATTGCTTCCAAATTATAAATGGTTACCCACAATCGTTTTGGTGTGTTAAAAATTACAAACATATTATGTGAGTTGGCTACTCTAATGCGGCCAATTGAGATTCCCATGATACTTGTCTTGTCCCAGTCCCCCCAACGCCCCCCAATTCCCAGCCCATATGGAGCTCAGACAGATGTTCATTTGATCTTTTTCATTGTTTGGTAAAAAACAGATGAATGCTGGTTGGCCTAAAGCTTGAATGCCTTCAGAGATACTTTTTGTAATCAAATTAACAGCTCACAAGAGCTGATGCATGTGGAAACCTATTAAAACAGCTCAGAAAACTCATTTGAATTTTACTGATCCACCGTTTTCCTCAGCTTTCAAGTCTGCTGTTTCTTGCTCCCACGATCAAATATGGAATGCCTAAAATCTATTTTTAGTGGTATTTGTTTAAAGGACCAGAGGCCTCCCTGCAATCCAGGCAGATTAAAATGTGTCAACCTCATGCTCTTCGGCCCCTGTAAAAGGTCTTCTAATCTACACTATCTCCTCTCAATAATATTTGCTGATTCAAACGTCCAGACATTATGAGTCTTATCTATGTTGATGCTGGCTTGTTTTTTGGTTGTGAAAGCCCATGATGATTATTACCTGAACTAAACTCTTAATGTTGGGTAACTTGCACATCCACTCGTTGGAAAGAAGAGTGCTGGATTTTTTAATGCTACTGAACTTCAGGGCTTCAAACACTGTAGGCTTTAATAGGATTCTGAAGAGCTGACCAGATTAGGATTCTGTATGTTTTAAAGAAGAAATATATAGGCTCTAGGCCTGTGTGTGTGTACCATTCAAACATTTGAGGTCAGTTTTTAAGAAATTAATTTTAAATTAAACATGTAATTGTAAATAATTGTTTTGTTAAGCAGGGATACATCCATTATTATGGCAATAATTACTTTTACATTGTTACAGAAAATACTGTAAAAAAAAGTATTTTAGAGGATAGATAGAGTATATTATGCAGCACAACATTGATAATAAATAAATCATCATATTTGAATGATTTCTGAAGTATCATATGACACTGAAGACTGGGGTATTGATGCTGAAAATTCAGCTTTGCATAACAGGGATAAATGACATTTTTACAAATTATTCCAAATTGTAATCATACACTGTAAAAAATATAGTTGGTTTAACTTAAAAAAATAAGTAACCTACCTGGTCGCCTTATTTTTAAGTTCATTGAAATGGAAAGAATGAGTTAATACAATGAATGAGATTAATCACCAGAAACTCAAAATATTATGTTATCTGAACTACATCACTTATCTAAGCTGATTTGACAAAAGAAAAAATGTTGTGATTACAAATCACGAAACTAATTTTTTACAGTGAATTTTGCACATTCAATCAAATGAATGCATGCTTTTTTTCTTCTTCGCAACAGCACCAGAGGAGCAGCAACACTTTTAGGTTTAATTATACATTTATTTGTCTTGAAATTATAGAGGGAGTCTTTTCCAGCCTCCCACAATGTTCAGTGCATAAATTTGATACCCCAAAAAAAGTATGAACACCCCACCCTGTCACAAGTCTGAGACGATTTTTTATTTATTTTTTTGGATGTACTTTTTAAGCTGCTTGCAATTAGCAACTATCTTTTATTACTTTATTATTATTATTTATTGCAGCTGTGATTGGCTTCTTGAACAACATCCGACTGATCGATACACCCCCGCAGTAGATGATAGTCAATGATCTGTGGTATGCAAATATGAGTCGTGATTTAAAATGTCAGAAGCCAAAACTAGGTCTGGAAATATTTGATCCAGGGGGCCTGTTAAAAATACCCCATTAAATAGAGTCTTGTTACATGATTTTGCCCTGTGGTGACTGCTAATGATGAGAGCTCTCGCTAACAATGACTAGCACAGTCGGCCTAATCAACGCTTCTCTTGCTCTTCTGTCACATGCTCATCCTTTATTCCCCGGTGCTCTGGTTTTCTCCTCATTAGAGTCTTGAATTAGGCCTGGTAAATTGAGATTGTAATTAGCAATGGAAATAGTGTGAGTTATTGTACTCTCACTATAAAAACGTAATAAGTTGTGACAACATATGTTTTTACGTTGCTTTAACTCATCAAAATAAGTTCAAGGAGTAGTTCACCTTTAAAAAAACTTTTGCTGATAATTTACTCACCCCCATGTCATTCAAGATGTCTTTAGTCGAAAAGAAATTAAGTTTTTTGATGAAAACATTCCAGGATTTTCTCCATATAATGGACTTCAATGGGAACCAAACGGTTCAAGGTCCAAATGAGAGTTTCAGTGCAGCTTCAAAGGGCTTTAAACGATTCCAGATGATGAATAAGGGTCTTATCAAGCGAAACGATCGGTCAGTTAAAAAATAAATAAAAAAGTTGAATTTTTATAAGCACAAAGGCTCGCCTTGCTCTGTTCTGTGATGAGCATTCGTGATTCTCCTGTTCAAAATCCTCATCAAAATGAACACATCTTTTTTCGAGTCATGACTCGAAGGGTCCTTGATTAGACAGCCCTTTGAAGCTGCACTGAAACTCTCATTTGAACCTTGAACCATTTGGTTCCCATTGAAGTGCATTATATGGAGAAAATCCTGGAATGTTTTCATCAAAAACCTTAATTTCTTTTCGACTGACGAAAGAAAGACATGGACATCTTGGATGACATGGGGGTGAGTAAATTATCAGCAAAGGTTTTTTTAAAAGTGAACTACTCCTTTAAGCAATTTTCAACCTTTTTTTGTATAAGATAATATAGGATATAAGTTGAAATAACTTAAAAATCCAAGTTGATTGTACCTAAAATTGTAAGGCAGCATCATTCAAAAGATTTATGTAATGTTTTTGAAAGGAGTCTCTTATGCTCACCAAGGCTGCATTTATTTGATGGAAAAATACAATAGAAACAATAATATTGTGAAATATGATTACTACATTTAATTTAATATTCAACAATAATATTGATCTGCCTGCATTGACACTATTACAAGAACTGAACTGAGTGGACGATGACATCACGGTTTACTCCAGAGCGGCTATATAAATAAATCAATGAAATTAATATTTTTTTACGACAAAAATTAAACATCCTATAGGTAAACATGCTATTTTCTTCTTGTAACAAACTTTTTTTTTGCATTATTTTCCTGTTATCTCTGTAAAGTTACTTTGAAACAATATGCGCGCTATATAAATAAATGTGACTTGGCTTAAAATAAAAACTTGTATTTTAGATAAATACTTGTAGTAATTTTCGTGTGATAAACTCGAGGTATATAGGATTATGAGGTATAAACTCACAATTACCTTTTCTATTTTTTCTCAGTGGTGGAAACAAGCTTTCATAGATAATAATCACAATTTGGATGATGAATAGATTTAACAGTCTATAAGTATTTTTTTTAAATTAATTGTCCTAAAATTAGACTTGCTTTCTTTAAACTTTTAGACGTTTCATGAGATTGACATGCACTGGCGCTGCTATTTTTGAGTTAAACACGTCAAAGCCCTAAATCTTCCAAACACAGGTGCGTAACACCAGTAATAAAGCACTCATTGTGTTGGTGTGTGAATGAAGTAAAATGGCTGCTTGACTGTAGTGTGTTTGCAGTGGGAGGGTCTTGAGCGGGTCACTGCGGGTCACCCCCGCCCCACTGTCTTTGTTCCTGGGACACAATGATGAACATACTTTTAACGATTCAGACTGACACCCTACAAATTGTGCTATATACCAATGATCATAATTGTTATTGGCTGCTGTAGATTGCCCTTTTCAGATGGAAGTCTAACTATGCTCATGTCATTTAGGCAAACATTTAGATTATTATGAGATTATCTGGACAATTTAGGAGGAGGCAGAATTCAGCAAGGCCGCAATCTCTGATCCGAGAGGCTCCTCTTCATAGCAACTCTGTGCTATTTACGGGTTTAAAATCACCGCTTTATGCACCTGAGCTGTGTGTGATTATTCTGAAGTGAGCACTGCTTGTGTGTAAATAATGCATAGGCTTCATGAGGAGGCTCTGCCGTGTCTTCTCTGAAAAGCAGCAGCTCCGTGTTGGCCGGGAAGTGTCTTTGGAAAGTGACTGCAGCGTTCTCTTGGCAGACAGGTATTATGTTTGCTTCTCTGGTTTCATCACTGTATTTATAGCGTGGCATTGCTGAGTCACTGGCGAAGGCTCACAGTTGAAGATGCACAAAGCTGCAGTGTGAGTGGCTGAGAGGAATCCAAACCATCCCGACTGATGATGGGGACACGAGAGACAACGGAGTCAGGCGATGGAATAATGCTCTCGACTCTGTGTTTTGGTGATCTGGCAGTATTTGGAAAGGGCACTCGCTCTCTTGAGACTCTGTCCTTCATCTGTATTCTGCTGCAAACTCCATCTGGCAAGAGCTCTTAGGCCTCTTTTAAAGCGATAGTTCTCCCCCCAAAAAGAGAAAGTTCTGTCATCACTTACTCACCCTCATGTCTGTCATCTGTCTTTCTCTGTCTGTCTGTCAGTCTATCAGTCTCTATTTGTCTATCTATCTTTTTCTGTCTGTCTGTCATATGTCTGTCTATCTCTACCTATCTGTCTATCTATATCTTTATCTGTCTTTCTGTCCGTCTGTCTGTCTATCTTTATCTCTATCTGTCCCTGTGATCTGTCTGTCTGTCTATCTATCTGTCTGTCTCTATCTATCTATCTGTCTGTCTGTCTGTATCTCTATCTGTCCCTGTGATCTGTCTATCTATCTATCTGTCTGTCTGTCTGTCTGTCTGTCTATCTATATCTCTATCTGTCTTTCTTTCTATCTCTCCGTCTGTCTATTCATATCTCTGTCATCTGTCTGTCTGTCTATTCAATTCAAATTGCTTTATTGGCATGACTGTACATATTACAATATTGCCAAAGCTTGTAACACATAGTATAGTGAAGACAGTAATAATAACAAAGTATTATAACAACTTAAATTAAAATGTACAAATTAAATTAATTGCAAAAAATAACAGTGTAACAGATTATAATTTCTATGAACGTTTGATACCACAGTATTTTAACATATATATATACACACGTTACTAAGGGTCACTGTGGTGGACATTAGGGAAACACACTGAGGTCACACACACACACACGTTCACCTATCTATCTCTATACATCTGTCTGTCTGTCTATCTATCTATATCTCTGTCTGTCTCTCCATCTGTCTGTCCGTCTATCTATCTGCTCTGTCATCTGTCTATCTATATCTATCTATCTTCCTGTCATCTGTCTGTCTGACTATCTGTCGGTCTGTCCTTCTATGTCTATCTATCTCTCTGTCTGTCTATATCTCTGTCCGTCTGTCTATCTATATCTCTATCTGTCTCTGTCATCTTACTGTTTGTTTGTCTATCTCTATCTGTCTATCTATCTGTCTTTCTTGTCTGTCTATTCGTCTCTCTGTTATCTGTCTGTCTGTCTGTCTATCTATCCGTCTATCTGTCTGTCTGACTATCTATATCGGTCTGTCCGTCTATCTATCTATATCTCTGTCCCTGTCTATCTATATCTCTATCTGTCTCTGTCATCTATCTATCTAGCTATCTGTCTGTCTGTCTATATCTATCCTGTTATCTGTCTGTTTGTCTATCTCTATCTGCCTGTCATCTGTCTGTCTATCTATATCGGTCTGTCCGTCTGTCTGTCTTTATCTTTCTGTCTATCTATATCTCTATATGTATCTGTCATCTGTCTGTTTTTCTATCTATCTCATCTGTCTACTTTTTATCTATCTATGTCTATCTATCTCGTCTGTATATCTATTTGTATGTCCATCTATCTGTTTGTCTGTGTCTAAATCTCATTTCCATTATGCAAAAATCATTTAATTTTTTAATAATCCTATGATTTAATATTAAACTGTAATGAGAAAGATTAAAAAAGATTGCCTTTTCATTTATGCTGATTTAAATATAAAAATCTTTATTTTGCTGTAGTTCATCATTGAGAATGTAATGAGAATCACAATGAAGAATGTACATTTCAATAATTGAATTTTCAGTTGAATTATAAATTATATTTAACAGAATCCCCTGTTCAAAAGACAATTTAAAAGAAAACAGTGTCCGGAATCAACGAGTAATGCCACTAAATAAGCCTGATGTCAGTATATTGACCAGAATTATAGAGACTTATAATATAGTGGAAACGGGTGCTAAATTGTCATGAAAAAAATCTTAATGGTCTTTAATAAATAAAATGTTTTGCTTCGGGGTTGGGTGAAGTGTGACCTGGATTCCTGTTGGTCAGAAGCAGTGGTGTGCTCATCTGCATGTGTTCCTCTGGTCCGTCTCTCAGGCGGCTGCTGATTATGTGAAGGCCCACCTGCCCGAGTCTCTGAAACAGCAGCTGCAGGCCTACGAGCGGGAGAAGAAAGACAGCTCTCTCTCCCATCCCTCCATCCTAGAGCAGCGCATTCTGGCTGTGGACCGGGACATGGTGGAAAAGTTCTCTGCCTCTCATGATGAAGCAGGTGAGCGTGTGTTTTAGGGGGGTCTGTTCTCTGGAAACAGTAAACCATGCTGAACCCCTCCCCTTTGTTTTCAGGCACAACATGTTTGGTGGCCTTGTTGTCAGACCGTGAACTGACTGTGGCAAATGTTGGAGACTCACGCGGCGTTCTCTGCGACAAGGACGGCAACGCTGTGGCCTTGTCACATGATCACAAGCCTTACCAGCTGAAGGAGCGCAAGAGGATCAAGAGAGCTGGTGAGTTTGCCCAATTCAAGGCAGAACAGCTGGTTTTTCAACAAACAAAAATGACTCAGCTACCAAACTTTAAAAAAAAAACTTTTTCAAAAATGTATTACCTTTTTCACTTTGGTTTTTGTCTTATAACGGCTATTTTTAAAAGAGATATCATATAGTAGATCCCCTAGGGATCTCTATTTTTAGAAAATTACTTCTTAAATGATAAAGTTAATTAAAGCTGCAAGCAGTGATGAAAAGGGCCCTCACACCCGTGCTGCCACCACCCGGCGGTTTTAAAAAGACAAAGCACAGTGGGCAGTATGTAATGATAATAAATATACAATAGGAGGACTATGTCAAAGGATTTGTATTTGCACACTTCCTGCTACCAGCAGGTGGTGCTATTGCTATAACCAAATATGAGCATGGCCATGTGTTCAGGACAAGACTCTTATCAAACATGTGAAGTTTGGGGCAGATCGAACATTGTATGCCTGAGTTACTGCAGGCTGTCTGTGGTTGCCTAGCAACATCGTAACTGCAAGCAATATTGAACTATATGACATATTCATTCACAAATCACTAAAAGCCTGAAATTGGGTGTACATTTGTCATGCCGCCAAGGGCCACCCTTCGATGAAAACTCAAGATCTTCGCAATTTAACGTCGCAAAGGCCTTAAGATTACACTCACCAGGAGGAGTTCGTTAAAGTACAACATCAGGAAATTATGAACAATGCACAAAATCTAGGAGGAAGTTCAAAATAGCTGACTGCCTATTGTGTTTAGGGCTATGCTCCAAGAGAATTTTTTGTAGGTATTGTGTCATTACGTCTATGTACCAAATTTCATACCTGTACGTGAAACGTAGAGCCAGAGCAAAATTTGGGGGCAGTAATTTTAAGAATATGAAAACCATATCACACGTACATTTTTTGCTTCTGAAGCGTGTGCAAAGTTTCATGAGTTTTTGAGCGTGTTAAGGCCCTCTAAAAAGCGATTCTTTTAAGAGAAGAAGAAGAAACAATAGAAGAAACAACCTCTCACCATCGGTGCTCGGGCCCTAATAATTTTAAAGGGTTTTGAACATGTATCATTTTGTATTTTCTTATTATTCTTATTACTGGAATTTCTTTGTTAGAACAACAAAATAAATTCAATACACATTTACACTATACACAAATAAATATACACATTGATTGGCAATGGTTGGTAATTTGATTTGACAGGCTTTTTTTAAATTTGCATACATAGTATTATTATTATTAAAGATGATGATGATGATGATAGTAGAAGTACTAACTTTTTTGTTTGTTAAAACAGGTTCTTTTTTTCATAATATTTTGATTTAGAACACCTGTAAAATATGATAATATATTATTATCATAATCATAACTTATGTGAACGGCAATATTTATTTTTAAATTAGTTTATTATTAATGATAACTTTCTTTCTTTCTTAAAACAAAATTTATCTTTTAAATAACCTTCTGATTTTAAAATCCGTGTAAAAAAAATATATTATATATATATATATATATATATTATTAATAATAATGATAACTTCTTTGTTTGTTAAAACAACTATATATATATATATATATATATATATATATATATATATAAGCACACACTAATAGTATTATTACTATAGTAATATCTTTCTTTATGGGCTTGTTTAATTTTTGTAATTAAAAAAATAAAAGTGTTATGGCATTTGTGTCTTTGTGACCTTTTTCTGATGAGTTTGACCCCTGCATATTATAATATGAGTTGTGAAATTTCCTGTATTTTACACAATCCCATTATTGTTTTAATATGCAAATGTTTACTTTTTTTTATTATTATTGCATATTTACAAAAGTTTAAATGGGGAAAGTCACAATACAGGAGTTTAATTTGAATTAAAAAAATTGTCTTTTGAATTAAAAAGGCCATGCTCATTGTTGATGAGTTTGCACATATGGTGGTCTTTGTGGCAGTTCCCGATGACTTCACGGTGTGAATATAACACTTGTCTGTGACCTCATCCATCAGGTGGCTTCATCAGTTTCAACGGTTCTTGGCGTGTGCAAGGCATCCTGGCCATGTCGCGCTCGCTCGGTGACTACCCTCTGAAGAACTTGAATGTGGTCATCCCAGACCCAGATATCTTGACCTTTGACCTGGACAAGCTCCAGCCAGAGTTCATGATCCTCGCCTCGGACGGCCTGTGGGACGCGTTCAGCAACGAGGAGGCCGTGCGCTTCGTGCGGGAACGCTTGGACGAGCCGCACTTCGGCGCCAAGAGCATCGTCCTGCAGTCGTTCTACCGCGGCTGCCCCGACAACATCACCGTCATGGTGGTGAAGTTCAAGAGCAGCTCTGGGACAAAAACTGGAGAGTAGTTTTACTCCACCAATAAACAGCCTTGATTGTCTATCCATTATTGCATATCGCTAGATGGTGTAATGTAAGAGACAAACCTTTTTTCTCACAATTACAATAAACTGGCACGCATAAGCATGTGCAAACACATGCATTCCCAGTTTTCTTTTATTCTTTTAGTCTGTGTGCCAAATGGACACTTTAAAAAATGATTTGACACTGTAAAGATGACGAATCCTGGCCTTCCTTATATAGAGCAATATTTGTGAAACAGCAATTGGCATAAATGGCAGAAGGACGTCTATTGCCTTGAAAATGCACTCGTAGTATTTTGTTCAGAAGAACAGATCAGAGCTTTATATTTTTGCTCTTGTTTGTTTTTTTTTCTCCCCCCTTGCTTTTATGAGTTCAGCTTTTGAATTTGGATGTGCATGATCCATTCATATAAGTGCAGGGCATTTATGCCGATTTACACTGGTGCTGCTCATCGGTTAGTTTAAGTGAGGGTGGTATGAGTTTGTGTTAGATTAAGAATGTTAATCTTTGATTAAACTTCATAATTGGTCTGTGTCCCAATCATTATTGTGAGAAGGAAGATTTTTCCAGTCATTCCTGCTCTTTTAAGTCACTGTTTTAATGGTCATGTGAAACCAAATGTGGCCGGATTGAAGACGGTATGTTATGTTATTGATTTGTTGAATTAATTCTGGCGTACAGTCCTCCCAGTTTCCTCCTAGTTTCCGGGGATTGGCACCAGGCCTGATCTACACAAACGTTGAATTTCTTGCACTGTGTGAAATGTATGTGGGAGATTAAAGCGATAAATAAACTTAACAAGTCAAAGCTCAAACTGCTTGTTTTTGTTCTCTCTGATATTCAGTAAGGACACATACAATTTATCATGATTGACAGTGAAATAAAATAAAAATTTTACAAATTAAAAAAAAAAAATCAACATTTTAAAGATATATTCAAGGTCAGCATACAGTAAGAGACTTTCCTAATATATATATATATATATATATATAATTTATTTATTTTTAAACTCCTACCGACCCCAAACTGAATGGTAGTGTGTACATAATAAGGACTAAAGTGTTGGGACACTGAATTTACTGAATCCTGTTGTTTCGATAAGACCCATTGCCACAGGTGTATAAAATCAAGTTGTTACTGTGTATCCACATAGTGTATAGATTATATAAGGGACAACTGGGAAAATGCCCCTTTCCTCCATCAAATCTTTAGTATCTTTAAACAAAAGCTGTTGTCTTCAACCTTTTTATAAGCGTTTTTAATACATTCCTAGATTGGTCTAACAAAAATACATCAGAACCTGTAACAATTTATAAGACATTTTGGTAACACTTTACAATAAGGTTCAATAGTTAGCATTAGTTAACATGAACTAATAATGAACTGCGCGTATAAGGCATTTTAGTAATCTTTGTTTATGTTAATTTCAACTTTTACTAATACTTTATTAAAATCTTGTTAACATTTGATTTCTCCCCAATTATCATGATGTCCATTAGTTTAAAAAACGGGACACTTCCATTCAACTACTTAATACTTAAAGGAGGAGTTCACTTAAAAAAAAAACTTTTGCTGATAATTTACTCACCCCCATGTCATCCAAGATGTCCACGTCTTTCTTTCATCAGTCGAAAAGAAATTAAGGTTTTTGATGAAAATATTCCAGAATTTTTTTCCATATAATGCACTTCATTGGGAACCAAACGGTTCAAGGTCCAAAAGAGAGTTTCAGTGCAAACTGTTCAAAGGGCTTTAAACGACACCAGACGATGAATAAGGGGAATCAAGGACGCTTCGAGTCATGACTCGAAAAAAGATGTGTTCATTTTGATGAACGAGTTCGAACAGGAGAGTCACAAACGCTCATCACAGAACAGATGTTTGTGGTGCACAGAAGGCGAGCATTTGTGCTTATAAAACTTTAACTTTTTTATTTATTTTTTAAATGACCAATCGTTTAGCTGGATAAGACCCTTATTCATCGTCTGGTGACGTTTAAATCGCTTTGAAGCTGCACTAAAACACTCATTTGTACCTTGAACTGTTTGGTTCCCAATGAAGTCCATTATATGGAGAAATTTCTGGAATGCTTTCATCAAAAACCTTAATTTCTGTTCGACTGAAGAAAGAAAGATATGGACATCTTGGATGAGATGGGGTGAATAAATTATCTGCAAACGTTTTTTTTTTTTTTTTTTTTTTTAAGTGAGCTACTTAATGCTTATACTATGTGCAATATTTTATTTACCTTATACAGGGCCTAACAGTAACACATTCATAGAAAAAAATCCAAGTAATGCCCTATATGTAAAGTGCTTTGGTCAACATGTGTTGTGCTATATAAATAAATGATTGTAAATAAATAAAACAATAATTGAAAGACCAATTTGTGCCCTGTTCCATGGGCCAGGGGACCACTAAACCATTTTACACCAGCCTCTAAAACCAGCCTGAGCAGGTTGGCAGACCAGCACAAACCAGACTTGCTGGTTCAAGTTGGTATTTTCAACAGACAGGGCCTTTGTTTTCATGTGGGAAATTGACAGTAGGCCTATAAGCTCATATATTAAGAGGAAAATAATAAACAAATAGAATAAGCATATGACGCATGGTTGTTCCAGTCAGAGACAGAGTGACATAAACATACTGATCTGCACACGTATGTCCACAGTAACCTTACACTGCAGTGCAGTATATTCCTGAAGCATACCGAGCCTTCCCGGTGATGCTGAGCAGTCCATCGTGACAACAGAGAGCAGGTGTAAAACCTCAGAATAGCACCAGCATTGTGGAGCGAAGTATTAAAGTCCTTAAGTGCCTGTTGTCACTGAGTAGGTTGTCTGTAAATCCCCCCTACACACTCTTACTGGATCTGACACTGGTAGTTCAGTTGCCGTAACGTATAAATGTACGTTTGAGTACCGAGTTTACAGAGGAGGCCAAGATATTTCAAGGATTTTACCACGCGCAGGCAGCCGGAGCACAAGAATGGGCCAGTGCAGTTTAAGGACATCCGAGCAGTTTAACGAGTTTACGTCACATTCTACTATTAAGATGTGTGAAAAACGCACTCCTGGCATGATTCCGCAGGGAAATGGCGAACGGACGTCTCTCCGTATGAAGCGGTCGCGGACAGGCGACGCCGCGGGCACGGGCACTGCTCTGGACTGGTGTTTGTGGCAGATACGACAGGCGGGGTGTGGATTGATAAAACCCTCGGAAGACAACAGTGAGCGCTTGGATGTAAAGTTATGGTCGCTGTTGTTGTTCTTGTTGCTCCCTGAAATCTATCCTGAGGATTTCTAAAGGTGACGCTCGCCGATACAGTCAATAATCCAGTGCTGGAACTGGAAGTATCTGGAAGGCTTGAGGTGGTGATTGATATCTGAGGGAGTGATACTACCATTAACTTTTTTCGTTTGGTTTCCGTTTACTGGAATTGAAATACTGAAAAATGTGTATTTGAAGACTTTCCCCAAGACATTTATCATCAAATGTTCTTTATAAATAGGCTATATGTTTGTCCACTTGTGACTTCATGCCAGTCATGATCATGTCAGCTGATAAAAGTAATGGGAAGCCCATAACGTATGGTCATATATCCCAGTCTCAGGGCAACTTAACTGAGAACCTTTATTTCATATGTTTTCATTTATTTATTTTGCTGGAAGTTCAAGTTCCTTCATGTATGTAATTTTCTTTCGGATCTTAAACTAAACAGTGAATGTTGAGCATGAGATTCTATGAAAGTGATGCAATTTAATTGAATTTATTTATCATGGAATATTTTATTCAGTTTAAATGTTTTGTACAGTGAGGAATTCCACATGACACCGTTCAGGCATTCTTAGCAGCATATCGTTTGGGAGGTGTCCTGTGATACTTTGACCCATTATTCATAAAGCTATGTAGATAAGAAAGATATAATACATCACTGAGTAACGCAGGCAGACTCCATCTTAAGTAAACTCACGTTTGCCAAGAGAAGACTGTAAGAAACATTGGTGTTTGTAAAACATCAGACATTTACAATGGGCCTTTCAGGATCCAGACACAAACCTGAAGCACGTATCCTCCTCTTAGGGCTTGACGGAGCTGGAAAATCAACTCTTCTTTACAAACTGAAATACAATGAGGATTTCCACACAGTTCCTACAATTGGATTCAATGTAGAAATGATCGAAGCCAAGAAGAACAGGGACAAAATCTTCCTGACCGTGTGGGACGTTGGCGGTCAGACAAAGATGCGAGCGCACTGGAGGAATTTTTACCAAGACACAGCTGGAATTGTGTTCGTGGTGGACTCTTCTGATATTAAGCGTCTGGACGAGGCCAAGGGCACCCTGGAACAGACCTTAAAGAGCGAGCACCTTAGGGGACTCCCGGTGGTGGTTCTTGCCAACAAGCAAGATATTGTAGGAGCTGCTACAGTAACGGAGATCACAGAGCAGTTTAACCTGAGAAAGAGTTGCAGTGAACGAGACTGGTTCATTCAACCGTGTTCGGCGCTGACCGGAGCGGGTCTAGTGGACGGCTTCAGACGAATGGCACACCATGTGAAAAAGACACCCGAGGACAATAACATCAAAGAGACTGTGAAGTATATAAGATCAAAATCTCTTATGAAAAAATAGCCCACATGGTAACTTATTAATCTCTTTTATGGAAGGTTGTGTTTACTGTCCAACTAAATATAGTTGACAGCACATCATGTGCAACCCTCAGGTTTAAATGAATTACATTTGCAAGATACTGAAAACTACCTTGAGATGCTATAAACAATGTTAATTCAGAAATTCATGAATATAGCAACCAAACCTTTGATGTAAAACAATGAAATTTGCATAGGCAATTATAATGCAAAGATCAAAACCTGTTAACTCAAAGAAAGTGATGTGATTTGAAGACACCATAAAAGCTGCTAAATACTACCTTGATTTAGAATTCATGAATATATTTATTGATATGTGCTGTGAAGTAGGTTTCATATTTTGCCTGTTTTTCTTTATTTTAGAACACGACGGGTTCACACTTACATTGTGATTTGAATGAGAAATTTAATCAAAGGTACCATAGAATGGTGCCAAGTGTTACCTTCAGTTATAATCCATGAATGTCTTCGTTACAGAATAAGCTGTGAAATATACAGAACGTACTATTGTGCAATTTTACTTTATAGCATAGAAAAATTCAACAAACTAGATTGCCTTCTTTTTCTGTGACCGCATCAACAGTAATGGCGAGGACCAAGACGAGATGTAATAAAACTTTTATTTTTAGAAAGTCACATAGTCAGTTTCCATTTTCATTCTTGCTCATCAAGTCATTCAAACCCGCTTCCCTCTTCTGAACCAAAAAGATCAGAATCGTCAAGGAACAGGTTGTCCTCTAATGGACGGAAGCTCCTAGGCTCCGGAGTGGTTTTAAACTCCAGCTCATCGGTCACGGGACTCATTTGGGTCGAGCTGAATAAGAACTCCGGCTCCTTGGTGACAGATGCGGAGAAGACCTCAGCTGGGCTGAACTGGGTGGTGATTCCTCGATTTGGCATCAGAAGCAGAGGACCCAAGGTAGCAAGCTTCCAGTCTGTTATAAAAGGGAGAAGGGTGTTTGATTGCCACATCTTGAATGAATATGATGAATGAAACATTAAATCATGCAAACCTTTGTTTGTGTCGGTTTCTCTCTTTGACGGACTACCATATTGCCTTGACTGTATGAAAGCTCTATAGGGTTCCAATGACTGACCGGGAATTACTTCAATGAAATCGGCAGGCCCAGATTTGGGTCCCACCTTTGGCTGCATGACAGGAGGGGCTTGTGTGATGCGGAAAGGCTTGATCGGTTCAGGCTCGGCCGCACCTTGTTTGGATGGCTCACAGCTGTTACACACCTCATGATTTCCATCCGCAGACTGCCACCTGCAGAGTTCACATGGGTTCTAGCATGAAGAACCACTGATTGATATACCAAGATTTAAATATTTGAGTCAGTCATTACCTTCCATCAATAAAAGAACATGCTCGGTTTTGAGCGCTCACAGAATATGCAGCAGGAATGGCTTTTAGGTAACAGGTGATGTACACCTGTTTCAAATAAAACCAGGAAGCAGAAATCTGTATGACTTGTGAAAATTCTCAACAGTTGGGGAAAAAAAAAAAAAAAAAAAAGTTGAAAAATTGCATTTCACAGACTAAGGTCATTGAGGGTTAGATACATGACTCATGACAATTTTACTACGCTTAAAACTAGGCACCATACACTTAACGACTTCGCAAATGGTTTCAGAGTAAAATCTGGGCGTCATACAGTAAACGACCAAGGATCAAAACACTACGATATTTAAATTCATTTTGAACACAAACAAAAGCAGAAACAGTGATGCATTGCAAATGAAACCAATGAGGCCTCAAACCAAATATATATATATATATATATATATATATATATATAGCCAACTGTGCCTAAAATCCATAGACTGGAAACTAATGCTGACTTGTCAAGACTGCAAATGTGGGTTTAAAAAAAAAAAAAAAAAAACCCTTGTCACATTGTCCCGGCTTTAAATTACAGTATTTATTCTTGGGTGAATTATCCTTTTAAATTAATCTTAAAAATTCTGCTCACCGAGTTGCTCGTCAACTTGTAGAACCTGAAGGCTTCCAACAGTAGGTTTAACTTATTGCCTTCACTCCTCTGCAAGAACTTGGAGCGGGAGTATGAACTCTTGCTGTCTGAAAGACATCTGAAAGCAGTCTGCATGTTTAGAGAAGCTCAAAATGCTGAATTCAAGTGTACTAAATAGTTTTATATTGGCCATCCATGGTGGTAAATGTTCATGGAACCATGAAACATTAAGGCGCAAAAGGTTCTTTAGATTGAAATGTTTTCCACACAATGAAAATAGTTCTTTTAAGAGGAGTTCACCGAAAGGTTATTTGGGAAACGTCACCTTAACACATCCCTTTGAATGCACAGTCATTTACACCACAGGACCAATTTCATTCATCAAACTGTTACCAGGTTAAGCAGACATGACTTCAATTAAACCAGAATTAAGCCCTTAGTTTAATTAGGACATTTAAGTCACTTATTTAAACATGTCTTAAACATAACAAGTGTGCATCTTGAGACAAAGCAATGGCACTGTCTGACAAGTTTCTTTCAGTTAAGGGTCTTCAGCCTTGTCCGTGAAACCAGGCACAGTTTGATTCAATCTATTTGACGTAATAAAATCAACACTGCAAAGTCTGAATCAACTCACCCACGATAATCTACAAAGTTATATTTGATGTCATTGGCATCAAAGTTGAACGTTGGTGTAGCCACACACCAGTCAATAAATAGAAGTAGGGGCAAGTGATTGGCCAAGGTAACTGATGCTTGAAGGTGTATCGCATCCCCCAGAAAATAGACGTTTGAGCCCCTCTCATACTGCCAGTCATCTTAAAAACAATAAAAATATTAATGACATAATTCTGAAGCCAAACTTTTCAAATTTAAAATAGCGTACCACTCATCAGTCGGAGAGCAAAGTCCAAATAATCGGTGGATGAAATCGTGGAAGCAAATGGAACCCAAGCAGGCGCCACTGCCGCACTGTCGACACTATACCGCCTTAAGAGGATTTGAGAAAAATAAATGTTAAGATCTCAAATCAGTCATTAACTAATCCAAGTTTGGCCAGCTTACCTCTGGAATTGGCACTGAACAGGTATAACTGCACCCTCCTGGCGAAGCAATCCATCAGGAGATTGTAGAGGAGAGTAAACGAGGACATTTGAATACACCAGAGAGTCATCAGTTACCTGTGAGAAGACCAATTAAACCCATGAGGCTGGTTTCACAGACAGGGCTTAGATTAAGCCAGGATTATGCCTTAGTTCAATTAGGGCATTTTAGAAAATAACTGGTGTCACCTTGAGACAAAAAAAAAAAAAAAATAGCACTGCCACTGGCTGACATTTCAGTGCAAGCTGCAGTCAGTTAAAACAGCTCAAACAAGCCTTTTAGTCTAAGACCAGACTTACACCTTCACTGTGAAACCAGGGGATGATGCATTTGTAAATCTATTTAGGCCTACAAGTAGCATTGGCATTGCACATGTTTGGTTGATCGGATCACACCCAGACAGTAACAGTGTCAGATCTGGCCCACATCCGGTACACGTTGAATCCCCATGTACCAAATGTGGCCCAGAATTGGGCCGAAACTATGTTGCTGCACAGGAAGTAGACGAATACCAGTTTACACCTGATATTTTACTCTGGGTTAACTCCACCACTTTGGATTGAGGGGAGGGTCTATTTTCTGTTGCAAGTAAAGGGTATGAACATGATCAGAGCTTTCAAACAGATGGACTAAATAAGCTGAACAATTCACATGAACACGACCAGAGAAAACTAAAATATGAAGCTCAGCTTTCATTTCTGTTCCGACATCCACAAGAGCTCACAGAACACCGCGTGCCTGTTAAAAGTCAGGATTGGGAGAGAACATTGTGCTTGGTAGCCTACGTTTTTCATCTTCAAAACAATAAAAAAAAAAAGACAACCAGAAATTGTTTAAACTTACAGATAGCTTGGTTCCACAATCACTGAAACTAGCAATTATGGTTAACACTAATTCTGCAGTTTGCACAGCTCCACATGACGAAGACCATTGGGGACCCAACCACAGCTCCTCCGTGTTGACAGGAAAGCCCGCGGCTAAAAGATTTGAGTTTATCACGAGCTCGATCGCTTCATCGTGGCAAATCACGGACACTGTTTTCTGACGTTGTTGTGGCACAGGGTCGTTTATTTTAGGCAGACTTTGAGGAATCGCGGCCTGAAACTGACTGCTCAACAGTTGCTGGTTCGCCGAAGACCGTCCTCCTTGGAATGTACGAGGAGACATGCGAGGATAACATTCAGTGCGGAGGGATATCATGAGAAAGACAGTTATCCACCATGTTAATGTGCTAGCCACCAACATCACGCCTGCTAAATTATTATTTCACTCACAAAACCGGCTTCTCGAACACACAAATGAAAAACCACGTTGGTCGTCGTTTTATACTACGTCTTGCTTGAGCAGTTACAGCTTTAGCACTCACCCAAACCACTTACACCTGATTTATATTTATTCAGGCCAATTAGGTTCCATGCAAACATTTAAGCAATTATTGTGAGCTGACGAACCTGTGTCGAGGATATTGGGATATGGCGTGATTCATTAATAATGAAATGATATGAAAACTAACTTTACTTGAAAACGAACTAAGATCAAGCGTTTAGGTCAAAGTGTGAATTTTGTGAATTAATCTTCACATGCGTGTGTGACAATTTAACTTTTAAAAATATAATTATTCAATGTGAACTTCAATTATGTACATTACACAAGTTTTCGGTGGGGTATAGGATGTCACATAACAAGAAACTGCTTGCAACAGAATGACAATAACTATTTTATATGTAATATATGAATGAACAGTAACACAAAGCCTGCCAAAACACCATGTTATTTTGTGTGGTATAATAATCTCATAAAGTTACTCAAAATGACACTAAAAATAATGGCACAAAAGCCATCACTGGGACGGTTACTTTTAAAAAGGTTCTAATATGTACCATTTAGGTATCAATATGTGCCTTTGATGTACAAACATGTGTCTTTTTAAAGTGTGCCACCCTAAGTGACTGCATTTGTGCCTTTTTTCCCCAGTGTGTATTCACAATCAAATGAGTGAATTTCATGTAAATTTTTTGGTTATCAAGTTAATATATCCTGAGCAAATCTTTCACAGTAATCAAAGTAACAAAACAATAGAGACATGTAGAAATCAATGGGTTTATTTGGGGTTATAAAAAGTCTAAGGCAGAGAAGATTGAGAAATAGACTACAATGTTAAAAGGCACAATAAATTACTAAGTTTCTTCTGCTGTGCCACATAAAAAATACAAAAGCCTTCCCTCCACAAAACTGGAGCGTTGTTTATCACTCATTAAGGCAGACTTTTTAGTTTGAGGTCTTCAAACTAAAATCTGAAGGTTGTGAAAGAGTAAAACACAAGTTGAGATATTAAAAAAAAAGTTTCTTGTTCTACAATGAAAACTTGAGAAAGAAAATACACCATAACAAACATAAAGCGGCCAGATTGGCAAAATCCTTTCAGTTCTTATTTCGGTGTTTATGGCATGAGGTATTAACTGGCAAGTGGACAGCTTTTGTGCTGTTGCTTTTTCGATTACACATCATGGCAGTGGTTTTCTTATTTTTCCCCCAGCAGAATTGTCACAGGAACAGGAAAAAAAGCCTGAGAAAACATATTTGAATTGTTAGTGTCAATATTGTAATGTTTCGGCTTTTATTCAAATGCATTTTGATAATCATCCTTACCAATAGCAGACGGCCGTCATGGACCCTCACAAGAAGGAGCAAACCTTCTGTGTCCTGAAGGGGTTGGTGCTTGAAGACACACCTGTCAGCAGTGGATCCTGAACGGCGTTTTGAATGCAGAACTGCTGAAGCTCTGCGGCCGCCTGAGAAACCTAAATGGCCAAAATTACACAATAGGTCACAAACGTCTGGAAACTGTAGAAAATGTTATACACAATCAGCTGCGATGATAAATACAAGCTCATACCAACAGACAAAACATTTGAAAATGGATGTAATAGAGCACTGCATTTCTTGCCTACTTTTCTTACATATAATTTAAATAGGGGAGAAAATATAATTATATAACTACATATAAAAATAAAATAATAATAAGTAATTATATAAATAATTTAATCAGAATAAATTTAATTACAATTGTAATTATTAAAACGAAATTTGACTCAAATAAATATAACCTTACTACTGAGAACATTAGCTCTCAGTAGAAAATTATAGTATAAAATTAATAACTTCCTTTTAAATTTTAGCGATGGGGTCCCTCACGTCTCTAAATGATCCTTTTTGGAGGTCCATGAGACCTGAAAAATTGAAAACCTCTGGTCTAGATAAACAAACTAACGTGACCCATCGTAGCTAACGTTAGCTAGACCTGGTATAAACCTAATTATTCAGTATTTTTCCCCCTAGAGCGTGTTTAATATCCAGTTTGTTTAGTGGATATTTGTACTACTTAACTGTAAAATAAAACTATTTTAATAAATCGTCTGAGAAGCCGATAAAACAAAGCTAACGGGTTCCAGGTCCACGCCCAAGCTCAACCCGGCTGCTAACTCACTAGCTTCAGTCTCAGCCGTGACGAAACCGCTAACAGAAACCAACCGACCTTTACTCTGTTGATGTTTGCTTCGAAGCGCAACTGCTGAACGACTTTCTTCATCGTAACGATGCTTGATGATCCCGACATGTTGTCTGATGATATTTCTAAACGATATGCAACAGCGAAGACAAAAGTTGTAAGTAAGCAGTTTCCGGTTAAGCTCGGTCCGGAAGTTGTTTTTTTTTTTTTTTTTTTTTTGCAGGATGGTAGGGGAAGACTCATGAATATTCATTAGTCAACGCATCCCTGATTGGCTCGTCGTAAAATCGTCTTCTTCTTCTTCTTCTTGTGGTGTTTAATGGCGGATTGGCAGACCAACATAATGGTGCATTCCCGCCACCTACTGATCTGGAGTGTGGTATGCTTGGCTTTGGAAGAAAAAATAAATAACTTCTATTTATTATTCCTGTTTTATTTAAATATTTAAATGTTAATTCGTGAATTATTGATTGCCTTGACCCATTTCCTAACAATACTTTTGTTGAAATTGTATCAATTCCCATCCATTGTAAGTTAGCTCTTGAATTAACTGTTGTCTCTCCCATTCATATGCAGCACATTCTAAAAAAAATAGGAAGAGAGAGACGTGCGTCAATATTATTATTTATTTATTAATTAAATTCGTTTTAATTAATTCGTCATTCTTGTTTTCTATAATTGACAGTAGATAGCCCAATAAATGAAAAAACACAAAGCCCTTTTAACAAGTAGGCCTATCATAATTATGTAGGCTATTTGTTATCTGGAATAATTACAAAAATCCGTGCAGCAGGATTTATTTATATAGTCTAGGCTATTCAGTTTAATTTTCTATTTAGCCTATTATAGATATGACTACAACTTTATTTATTCAAATTAAACTGTGTGTCCATTGATTGTGAAGTTAGACATCAAAAATTGCAGATCAAGCGCATGGGGCTGCATGTTTTTTCTTGTTATGAATTGTATCCTAGTTTCCGTTATAGTTAACTACGCGCAGTGATATTGAACTGTAATGCAGTCAAACTTGTCTGAAACTACTTTAGCCGTGCGTTTCCCTGAAAATAATTGCACACCTTAGAACGTTCCAAACCAATCAGAATCAAGCATTCAACAGCCCTGTAGTATAATGTTGATATAATTTACTAAATCCTCTGTATAACTGTCATTTCAGGCTGTATTACAACATTTTTAAGAGGTCGTACGGGGAGTTATCCGGGGACGCCATGGTCACCAGCTTACAGGCATCACTTGATGCATGTAACAAAAAGGAGGGGTCAGAGTGCGGGAAGATGTTTGCAGATTCCAAGAACATCATGAGGAGGGCCCATTCAATGATCCCTGAAGCCCCTTTTCCACCAAAGCGTCGGTTCAGCCATTCACATATTTTCATATTTTTCTACCGACGTGTCTGATTTACCGCAGTGTTAAAAAAAACTGTGGCGAGCGCGACGGCGGGGTTTGATACGGTTAACATAGCTCTCCTTATTAGCTAGGCTAATTACATGCTTGCTTGCTCGTCTCCACATTGACAGCATGTTGGATGGATCTGTGCAGCGCTGTTTATGATAGGCTATACCATTCTGTCAATGTGTTTGAGAGAGAGAGTGAGTGAGCGTGCGAATATGCGCTGCACGCAACTCTGCAGTCAATTACAACTTTTCCCATCTTAAATTGTTAAAAACACGGAAATCAATATGTGGCGGTCAGCGCTGATAATGTGGTGGGCTGCCACTAATAAATGTATGGGAAACACTGTACCGGTTATCGGACCTCTTAGGAAACCTTGACATTTTTATTTTTAAAAATTGCATTTGCTCCCTAGGTCAGGTTGCACCCCACAGCTCAACAACCTGCTCATCACCTTAACTTTCACTGCATTTGTAGTCAATGCCATATTATCCAGTAAACACTAATAAACGAACAGAACGGAAATTAACTTTGGGCCAGATCATCACCATGGCAACGCGTCTGATGAAAGCGTGCGTCTTGGTTATGCTGATAATCTGATATGAAATAAAATCTGGAAACTTCCTCATGAATATTTAGTCACAAACAAAATCAAAGAAATTTCCCTTAAACTAATTTATAAATATTACCCAAGTAATCATTATCTTGTGACCAGATTTAATTGTGATATTGATACATTTTACATTTTGTGGTCTACATGATGAAACATTTTATCATTTATTTTGGAGTTGTCCTCATTCAGTTTGTTTTTGGTCTGATTTCTGCTCCTTTATAAAGGCTCACATCATGCCCAGATTTCAACTCTGCTTCAAAAATGTGTTATTTGTTTTTTTTTTTTTCCCTTTATGACCAATCTTATCGTAAGGAATACTACCTAATTAAATACCTAAAACAATACTGGGTTTGAAAAATAAGAAAGTATCTATATGTAAACATTTTCACATTTTTGTTTAACTTAAGTTTGTCACTGCTTTGTTTGTCTTTTCATGTTTTTTATTTAATTTATTCAATGTACCCCTGACTGTAATTGTAATTCTTGAAATTCAATATTTTTTTTTTTTTTTTTAATAAAAAAATTCGAACCCACTCATTAATATTAATAAGGACAGGTTTTCCGCATGCTATGATTGGTTCATGCGTTAGCTCCTGCACAGCCATTCAGCAAATCAGGGTTACTGGGCGAACGTAGTTAATATTCACAATCTAAGTATTCGTATTGGACATCATGGCGCATAACAACATACGCCACCTGATGGCGTTTAGATGCAATCAGAGATGCAATATAACCATCCCTTTTTTTTTCTCCCTTTTGCTTCTTTATATTTATATTATAAAAACATCTTCATTGTCACGCGCCCTTAATTATGCTATTTTTATGTAACGTATAACAAAACTGGAATGGAAACAAGACAGTCCAATAAAATGCTTCCTAGACTAAGTCTTCATAAGATTGGTTTGTCTTATTCACAAAGCACAAATGATTGGTAGATCTTTCAAAACAATTTCCCCACAGCAACCTTTGAAGTAGCCTACTATATATTCCCCCTTTCAAAACACTTTGGATTTTACCTCAGAGATTTCAGTTGTTTCATGATCACGTTATAGTATTCGCTGAACCTTTGGTTTAAATCTACCCTGTCTTTATCAACCTGTTCACAATGTTTTTCTATCCTACGGTGCTCAATCATCGGACTGGGTGCTTTGCCACGATATGGTAAGTTTTAATTTTTTCTTTCAGAGAGTTGGGCCTGACTGTTTGTATGAGAAGGTGTGCTTGCATGAAGGATAAATGTTATAATCTGTCCATTTAAAATGTCTAATCCTAAAACTGAGGCTTATATATACCCTAATACATACATTTATTCAGGTTGGCGGCCACTAAAGGACGAAAGATCAGTCGGAGAGATATGCTCAAAGTCAATGTCCAGCGCACTTGGTTAGTAGCAGCCTGAGCTATCCTTTCAACGATGTAGCTAATAAATAAATTACTTGTCAATAATTTTCTTCATGATCGCATTTAAAGAAAACATTAAGTTAATTATTTTTAATTGCATCAAATTCATAATAATAAAAAAAATGTATGGCGTTATTCTTAAACAGCCATGACATCTTGAATTACGTATTGGTCAGAGTCCCGCCCCCGCTGCCAGGATTGCCCCGCCCCCGGTTCGCCCTGTACCTGTCCTCTCAGCTCCAGTATGGAGTGGTGCTGGTCTACCACAGACAGTGTGAATTTTTGTTAGGTGGGCTGGCTCCATTTGTCAAACATATACACAATATTTGACATATAACACGAATGTTTTTTTTTTTTTTTATTTTCTGTTTTGACTTTATTAACCTTTAAGATGACACAGTGGGCTGAAAGGGATCATGATATTTGTTGCATTTAGAGATGTTGTTTGTGCTTTTCTCAGAGGACACTCAGGTGGCAATTGATAGACTCCTCCGCCTTAACCGGAATACTAAGATTGATTTGATGGATGAAGAAACCAGGTCAGGCACTATCTCATTTCTTAGACATTTACATTAACAGTTACATTATGAGCATCCTTTATGTTGTCATGATGTCAGATAATATCAATTGTGTTAATGCAGATGAATTGAACCATTATGTCCGATGAACATTATTGTCTGAACAACGACCTTTATTAGTTAATTTCACAGGGACAGTGTACATTAATAAACATTACTGTTATATATAGTGTCAGAATTATTTTTCATCTGTAGTCCCTGGACAAAATGTCACAATCAGCCTGAAAACAAAAACGTCAAAATTACAAAAAAAGATTCAAATGAACATTTCATGCTATTTTTATATTACAAAACAACTTTGCTGAAACAGCATTTGCAACCCATGCTAACTTTTAGTTAGAGGCCTTTTTCAAAGGCCAAGAAGAATAAGTACAGAATAAGTAAGCAAAGAATAAGTACAGTTTTACATCCAGAATTTTAGGTGAGAGCAACAACAGGACAAAAATTGAAAATGTGAATGAAAAAGAGATTCAGAGCTTGATGTGTTTAACATTTACAGTTTCCTCCTTCCTTTTCAGGCAGAGTCACATGATCCCTGATGCTGCTGCCCTTTTTGATGAAACCGAGGGGGCGAGGGATCCGTTCTTCGGGGTTATGGATAGCGGCTACAGCCTGCCGAGTCCAAGCAGTCTCATTCAGGTGCCATGTTACTCTCAGTTTCAAAGAAACGCTAAAGTTCTGCCATATGTACCATTCAAAAGTTGGGGGCAAAAGTTTTTTTTTAAAGAAATACTTTTATTCAACAAGGATGCATTCAACTGATCATAGTGACAGTAAAGACTCTTATAAAGTAAAAAAAAAAAAAAAACATTTTCATTATTGATAATAAGCAGCAAATTCATCATATTAGAATGATTTCTGATTCTGAAGGATCATTTGACACTGAATACTGGAGTAATGATGCTGGAAATTCAATAATATATTAAAATAGAAAAAAAGTTACTTTAAAATAGTCCACATTATTACTGCTTTTACTGTATTTTCAAAGCAAATACATGCATATTTAAGGAGCCTTTTTAAAATATAAAAAAAATCGTACTCGCACCAAACTTTTGAACAGGATTCATAAGGTGTTAACAATGAAGTCATGTGTAGTCTAACCTGTCACACTGTGTCTCAGCGAACGGAAGAGGTGTCACCACAGCATGTGTCGCCTGCTAGAGAAAAATCACCACCCTCAGATGGTGAGAACTTAATACTTCACACCGAAAAGTGATACGTTGTCATTTGCAGCACATAATTACTTGTATCCATAGTCTTTCAAGTAATGCTATGGGAATTTACAAATGAGAAGCACCAACCATAAAGAAAAATCTAGAAATGTAAGTGTGTTTTTAAAGCTCCTTGTTTCCCCTTTAGGCATCACAGCCAGTCAGGAATCCATCACTCTGACTGAACGTGAACCAGTCGTCCTGCCTGAGCCAGAGGTACAGCTGTCACTCAGTCCTTGTCAGCATCACTGCATGATCTCCTGTTGTGTGTCTCCATGGTGTCGTCTCTCTGTTTCCTCAGTTTGAAGGAGCAGATCTGCTGGAGTCCAACCTGGTGGAACTACTGCTGGAGCAGCCCGAAGGTTTCTTTGAGCGTGAGTGATGCTTTCACTCAAACCCATAATTATCCTGGTGCCAGATTATACTTGCACAAACTAATTGTATGAATTCATTGCATGAACTTGTCAAAACATGCCTGGTCATATTTAAAAATATGCAAGAACATTTCATGTTCATATTTCAGCCCACAATCAAAAGAAATAGATAACCTTTAAATTTAGTTTTTTTGCATTGACATTATTTTTCATGATAATTGAGCACATAATTACTAAAACTGTAGTGCTAAAGATAAAAAATATTATATATTTCTTAAGAATGTGAAATATTTATACTTCGTTGTAGTTTTTTTCTGCAGGCTTTAAACTATGCTAATTTAAATAAATAAAAATTCAACTTTTTTTATTAAAAACACTGTAAAAATATGATGTATTTATACGGTACTTCATTGTAGCTTTTTGTGCTTGTTTTAAACTATGCTAATTTAAATAAATAAAAATTCAACTTTTTTATTAAAAACACTGTAAAAATATGATGTATTTATACGGTACTTCATTGTAGCTTTTTGTGCTTGTTTTAAACTATGCTAATCTAAATTAAAAAAATATAAGTTATTTAAAAAAAAACATGTAAAATGTGTACAATTTATAGAATTTAAATTAAAGGGATAGTTCACTTTGAAGTATGTTTTATCTTACCTCAAGGGCATCCAAGATGTAGGTGTCTTTGTTTCCACAGTATTTTCAATTTTGACATTTTTCGGTCAAACCGTTGTTGTCTGTCAGTCATATAATGCAGGTATGGGGGTCCACTTCAAAGAGCATGCACAGAGAAGTCTAAATTAAACATGATTTCATGACTCGTAAATGTAAGTACACATTGATGGCCTAAGACACGAAACGAGCGGTTTGTGTGAGAAAACGAAAACTGTATTTATATCGTTTTTACCTCTTTTTAACAGCCATGTCCAACTGATCTGAGGGCGCGGGCGCTTTGTGGCTGTGGTTACAAGAGGTAAAAACGATAATACTGTTAGTTTTCTCACACACACACCGCTCGTTTCGTGTCTTAGGCCATCAATGTGTACTTACATTTATGAGTCATTAAATTGGACTTCTCTGTGCATGCTCTTTGAGGTGGACCCCATTCAGACCTCCGTTATATGACTGACAGACAAGAATGGTTTGACCTAAAAATATCAAAATTGAAAATACTGTGGAAACAAAGACGCTTACATCTTGGATGCCCTTGAGGTAAGCTAAAATATACCAAAAATTTATTTTAAAAATTAATTAAAAACTATATAAATTGTGAAGTATTTATACTTCAATGTAGTTTATTGTGCTGACTTTAAACAATGCACATTAAAATATAAAAATTACAATAAATAACTATAAATAAGTAAAAATACTATATAAAATGTCAAGTATTTATACTTTATTACAGTTTTTTTTAAATAAGAAAGAATTTAAATAAAAATAACAAAATACTATATAACATGTAAAGTATGTAAACTTCATTGTATCTTGTTGTGTTGCTTTAAACTATGCCCATTTAAATAAAAAATAAATATTTTTTAAAATTAAATAATAATATTATATAAAATGTGAAGTATTTGTACTTAATTGTAGCTTTTGTGCTGGCTTAAACTAATTTAAATTAAATAATATAAAATGTAAAAAATAGAAATAAACAATTTTTAAAAAAGAAAACAAAACATCCACATCTGTTTTGATGATGAGAATTTGATGTCAGGTTTGGCTGACATCAACACTCATTATGAGTTATTCATTATCAGTTTTAGATTTAAACTTGAGAAGGGACTGTTTTTTTCAGGTGAAGATGAGAGGCAGCTGGAGATAGACAGAGAAAGAGAGCAGATAGAGAGAGTGACAGAAGAGCCGAGGATGCCTGATGAAAGAGAGCAAGAGAGAGCAGCACTTGAGAGAGAGGCAGCAAGAGATCTGACAACATCAGCCTCTTTAGATCTGTACGTTTAGACATCCACACTTCAGAAACTTGCTCTTACGCTTTTAAGTACGCTTTCAGTAAACAAAAGATACTAAAAATGGAAAACTTCACATTTTTGAAAGCAAAGCTTTTAGGGTTGATGGCTTTAAAGTCCCTATCGAAATCTTGAATCCAGAATCTCTAGTTTTCTCCTTAGTGTGTCCATAGTTAGGGCTGCACTTTAATTGTGGTTATGATTTTTGCTTCTCTCGATTAACTAAGTATAATCGCTATAGTCGGAATCATTAAATAGATCCTCTTTGATTTGATATTTCAATTTTACTGCAAACAGCTGCAATCTTGCACTGGTATAGCAAGCCTCCACAAGCTTTCAAGCTTGGGCTTCCCAGATGTCAAGTGATTCATTTCCACAGTCAGAAATTTTCTTCTAAATGGACACATTTTCCACCCTGACTTTGATGATTTGAAACACCAACAAACATGTTTAGCGGCCTCCACTGAGATATTCTGCTCAAATAAAGGACCAGAATAACCAGTCTGTATTTCTTCACAAAAGGCCGCTTGTTCTGTGAATAAGTCTGCCATCAAACGTTCTCAGTAGCTGTTTCCATCCACCTATTTTTATGCAAGTGTTGGGATATTGCATAAAAAAGCTGGATGGAAACGCCAGGATGAGAATAAAAAACATATGCTCTCATTTGAGGCAGCTAATTTATTTATCCAATAAGAAGACATGCGCAGAAACTACAATGGAAACACATTTACTGAATAAATAAATCTGTCAATGCGCAACGAATTGCGTTCCCAAACATCCGGACCCCAGATAACATGACAGTGTTAAACAAAACAAAAACAATACAAAACACAGATCAGTATATCTAATAAATAATGACAAAAATAAAATAAGCATTTACTATAAAAATTCGTAAGATATCACCCAAATGAGTTCAGGTTCCTTATAGCCACAGGAATAAAAGAATCCCTATTCTTCATGTTTTAAAGGGGTCATGAACTGGCTTTTTAAATTGTATTATATTGTTGTCTGAGGTCAACTTGTGACGTTCGCTTGGGTTTTGCATTTAAAAACATCTAAATGAATAAGTAATAGGCTATTTTGTACCCTAGATTTGAGTTTAGCTGAAAAATGCTCGGTTTTTATTGGCGTCTCGCACTGAAGAGTTGGAAGTAAACGCCCACTGCTGTGAGTGGATACCAGTTTTGCATATTATAATGAGTTTAAACTCACCTATCGATGCACTTGGAAATTGTTTTGAAAACGTCCAATGTTGTAAAATGGCAACCGGAATAATTCGCCCATACATGTTCGACCCAGAGTCCGTGTGATGCACCATTCCTGTCAGATCCAATATCTGTTAATCGGTCTGCAAATACAGTCTTGTTCACAGGACCAGCTGAAACGTCATTAAAAATAAAGTTTATCCATACAGTCCTATTGGAATCCAGAGGAAGCTTATGCAGCGACTGTCTTCTTCCACAACCAGGCACTGCACAATATTTTGTTTTGCTCGGTAACTCGACCCGGTTTGTCATCACGAGGCAGGCATCTTATTTAGCTATGTGTGTAATGCATGAATCGGTGGGCGGGGCTAAACCGGCCGTGTTGAAGTAGGCGTTGATCTTTTTCTGCGGGAGTGGTGTTTTATCCTCTTTGACATCATAGTTCCCCACTTTGAAAAACGAGTCGTTTGCTGAGCATGGTGTCAATAAAAGCTTTTATTGGACTAACAAGGACGTTTTCAGTTCTGAAACTTGCAGGATATTCTTATAATATGATGACCTCTTAGATGTCAAAAGCTCAAGGAAATGTTGATTTCTCAGTTCATCACCCCTTTAAAATGAAATGCATTAAATCTATAAGCAAATCTGAAAAAGGGCTAAAAAGCTGTTTTGAACCCGCCGCAAAATTAACCCTAACCACGCCCTTTCAGCGCTAATTTTTCACTCGAGCCTTTAGCAAATCCTGAGAGTAGTTTTTTTAATTCCAAAAGAGCATTTTTTACCCAAGCTGTTGGGTAACAGCTTGGGTAATGTTATACCGGTTTAAAAACACCAAAGTTATGCTCTAAGATTATGATTTCCCAGGGCACAAATCACTGGCGCATCAAGCCAGGAAGTTGTCCTTCTGCCTGAGGAGGATTTGGGGCTTCCCATGGAGATACCTGTGTTAGAGGAAAGAGAAAGGACGCCAGTATCTGCGCCTGTACCCATACCGTCGCCTCCGCCCGGCGAACATGAGGAAATGACCGCTGAACCCGAAAGAGAGAGGGCGGTGAGAGAGAGGAGCCCTCTTCTTCAGGTGTGTTAGGATGTGAGGTCTGTCTTGATGCTACATTAAAGCATTTGACACATTTGTCATCAAGCCATCTGTCCCTCTGTCAGCCTGCTGTAGTGAGGCCTGAATCTCCTAAAGTGCAGAGGAAGAGGAGGAGACAGCTGCTCTTCATCGATGAACATACACAGATATCTCAAGAGGAAATGAAGGCCCAGATTGATAATGTGGAGACAGAGACCAGGCCTTTGGTAAATCCAGAACAGTCTGTATACTTCAAGTCAGCATTATTTTCGTGAATAAAATGGTTGTCAGTTGTGTTTTGTTTTTTTTTCTCCTAGGCGACACTCATCAAACCCCGCTTTGAAAAAAAGGCTGCTAAAGAACTGCTCGGAAACCCTTGCATGAGTAAGTCGTTGAATATCCAAGTTAATGCAGTCACATTTCACCCTAAAATCATGATGTTGTTTTTGAAAGAAACTAATACTTTTATTCAGCCAGGATGCATTAAATTGAACAAAAGTAACAGTAAAGACATTTATAATGTCATAATATGACCTTTATGGTTATTCCATGACAGCTTCCATGATATTCACTAAATCCTAAGCTTTATACAGTCCAGAGCTAAAGCGCATATTATAGACAGTTGAGTGTTATGCTTTCTACATAGGCCTTCCACCTGATATCCTGCCGCTATGGAAACAGGCCGCGGTCGTGAGGCGCATCCCTCCATCCTGGCCGCGCTGGGACCTTCCCGCAGCTGAGGAAATACCAGAGAGAGAAGACGAAAGACCAGAACCAGCAGTGAGAGAAGAGGAAAGACCAGAACCAGCTGAGAGAGGAGAGGAAAGACCAGAACCAGCTGAGAGGGCAGAGGAGAGCGAGCTCAGCTCAAGAGAGGTCTACTTCCTCTAAAACTAACCTTTTACATGATTACATTTAAAGATGTAACTCATCCCACACCATTTGTGTTAATACCTTAAAAGGCTTGGTTCACCCAAAAATTAAAATTCTGTCAGTATTTACTCACCCTCATGTTGTTCCAACCCCGTAAGACTTATCTTCGGAACACAAATTAAGATATTTTTGATGAAATCTGAAAGCTGGATCACTCCTTAGTTAGTAAAAATATTGTTAAATTGTCCAAGTCACTTCAGTGGCTCAACCTTAAGTTTATCAAGCAACAAGAATACTCCCCCCAACCCCCGTAAAACGTCAACGTATAATGACGTTATTCAACTATCACGAGAGCGCCACGACCCATACACGAGAACTGAGAAGAGTTTTACCAGTTGAGGCTTTTGAGTAAGGTCAAAACATTTCTGTCCAGAGCTGACCTTGAAAAGGCCATTCATGCCTTCAGCAGCTCGAGGATAGACTATTTCAATGCCCTTTACATTGGACTTAATCACTCCTTAAAGGGTAAGTTCACCCAAAAATGAAAATTAAGTCATTAATTACTCACCCCCATGCTGTTCCAACCCCGTAAGACCTTCGTTCATCTTCGGAACACAAATAAAGATATTTTTGATTGTATCTGAGAGCTGGATCAGTCCTAGATAGACTGCCTAAGGGACTGGCTCTTGACGGCCCATAAAGTCATTAAAGAAAAGGTTTAAATATTCCATGTGCCTACAGCGGCTCAATTATAAGTTTATCAAGCGACGAGAATACTTTTTGTGCGAAAAAAACATAAATAACGACTTTATTCCACTATTCCATTACTTCCTTATTGGCGCATGCGCGAGAACTGAGACGAGGACGTTCTCATTCGTCTACTTCTTGTTACCGGCTGCTCACCGCTTAGGAGTTTTACCGCCCCCTACCATATAAAATGATAAGGCGCTCCGGATTATAAGGAACACTGTCGTTTTTTGAGAAGATTAAAGGCTTTTAAGTGCACCTTATAGTGCGGAAAATACGCAAATTGAAAAGCGTATGTACAGTGCGCATCTTCCTCTGCTTGTAAACAGAAATTTTTGCGCTTCCAGCTATATCAGCACATCATCTTATACGGTAGGTGGCGGTAAAACTCCTGAGCGGTGAGCAGCCGGTAACAAGAAGTAGACGAATGAGAACGTCCTCGTCTCAGTTCTCGCGCATGCGCCCATAAGGAAGTAATGGAATAGTGGAATAAAGCCGTTATTTATGGTTTTTTCGCACAAAAAGTATTCTCGTCGCTTGATAAACTTATAATTGAGCCGCTGTAGGCACATGGAATATTTAAACCTTTTCTTTAATGACTTTATGGGCCGTCAAGAGCCAGTCCCTTAGGCAGTCTATATAGGACTGATCCAGCTCTCAGATTCAATCAGAAATATCTTTATTTGTGTTCCGAAGATGAACGAAGGTCTTACGGGGTTGGAACAGCATGGGGGTGAGTAATTAATGACTTATTTTTCATTTTTGGGTGAACTAACCCTTTAATAGGCTTCAACTGGTACAAAATTCAGCAGCACGTCTCCTTTGTAATGCCTCCACTCTCATTTCACCCCAGTCCTCCGTCCGCTCCACTGGCGGTGCGGTTCAGGGTGGAGTATAAGGTTCTGCTGTTCGTGTTCAAGGCCATCAATGGTATGGCCCCTGCCTACCTCGCAGAACACATCACCGAACGCGTCATTGATTGATGATGTAAGTTTTCGTGCATGTGTCCGTTGCGTGCGTCCGTCTGACATCATTGACATCTGAGGTCTTACATTGTGACATGGCTCACAGCGAGGATCATGTTCGTACAGTCTGACAAGCTACAATCGCAAAGGACGATAATAAATCGCACAGTGTCAGCCGGCTTTAAATCAGTGCTACCCAACCACCTAGCAACACCCTAGAAACCACATATCAATGCACTGACAACCACCCAGAAAACTTAAGCAACACCCCAACAACCAGTGCCAGTGACATCAAAACTGTAGAAATTGAAAACATTCCAAAAATAAATTAAAGATTATCATTTAAATATGACACTAATAAACAAAGGGATGCATATGTGTCAATTGACTGAAAGACATGGCCCAGATTCATTTCATTCATTTCATTTGTTTATTTGATATGGACACAACAACAGTATTGGACAAACCAGACACTTGTCCATTGAAAGCTACACACTTTCACAAAACACGGTACACAATACAATATTTAAGAAAGTAAACAATACACATCATCATCAATATTCATTTCAAACAGCGTTACCATGTGTACAGCTTTGACTTGACCTCAGCCATTGTTTCAGACCTCTATCAAAGCTGATCATGTCTGTCTGCAATTTTAGTTCAGTTCCATAGTCTCGATCCATTAAAAGAGAAACTAGACTGACCAAAAGATTTTGTAAATCGCGGAGGAACACAGTCCCCACTGACTGAGGCTCTGGCGGAAGGTCTAAGTGAGCCCTGATGCCTAATTGCAAGTACTAAAATGTATAAAATTTCCAAAAGTAAAAAGATTATGTCTATGAATGGTGTCACAGTGATGAGATGTCATGGGTTTTCTATCAAATACCTTGACTGCCTGCTTGTACACTAAAACAACTGGCTTGAGTGTGGACGATTTACTCACAGCTTGCGTCAGCGCACACCCTCTTTTCACTCCCTTTTTTTTTTTTTTTTTTTTTGGAATTGCGCTCTCACGGAAATTTGCCCAGTTTAGTAAATCCCCTAGTCTATTAGTTTATGTTAAGACTGTGTGATCCAAATGGATGGATATGGATCAAATGCATAAAACTTAAATAATGTGTATAAGAAATGGTTCTGATCTTTTTTTCCCGCATCCTTACTACTGTAGATTCCCAGAGAAATGGTGGAGTCTGACCTCCTCCAGCAAGAAACACCAGGTAAAATATCAGTACATTACATTATAACAGATCAGCCAGAACATTAAAAGCACCTGCCTGATATCACACACAGCTGGTGTGTTTTGAAGGGAGAGAAAGAAAGAGAATAACAAGTTTAGCTGCGTTCACTTTTTCGTTGTATTTGCAGCCTCTTTGGTCATTTTGGAGACACCAGACAAGGAATTTTCACCACTCGAGACACCTGAGATGATACGGTGAGAGGAGAGATGGAAAAAGAGAGACAGGAAGTGTGAGACGGAAGTAGCTGCCGCTCTCATTAGAGACTGGTTTGACGCGTTTGAGTTTCACACTCAGTCGCTGCATAATTGCCTCTGAATAATTACTTCTGCTTTCATGGGTTTAGATCCCGGTTCCAGAAATTCAGTTGGGTCTAGAGGACATCCCAGAGGAGAGGGTCCCAGTGATGGAAGATATTGCAATGGATATTGAGGAACAATTTAGGTAAAGCTTGAAGCTATCTACTTCTTTTTGATGTCAATGTTTACAAAATATATACATTTTTCACACTATTGTGTTAATATGACATCTATCAAGTCTATCCAGTATATTCATTTTTGTTATTTATTTAAAAGTAATTTATAGTATTATTGAGAAGTCATATCACATTTAGTTATATAGTGCTTTTTTAGTTCAATGTTGATTCAGTTCAGTTCAATAACAGTGTAGATGTTGTAGAGTTCGTCAATTATGAAATTATTTCGATTCTGCTATAAAGCTCATTATCATTAACCAGGCAGTTTTGTCCAGTAGTGTCAGTGCAGTCAAATCAATATTATTACTGAATATTTGGTTACTATTATTGTAATATTATTACTGAATAGGTCTTTTAAAGCTTTACAGATTAATATTTTTTTTGTTGTTGCTTTTTTCCATTTTAGTGGATTGTTACTGTGAACACATTGCTAATGTATTTCTTTCTTCTGTTGAAGGCCGCAGGATGTCATGGAAGATTTAGTGACCTTTCGCTCTCTGCTGCCCGTTCACGCCAGCCGTAGAACTGTTGCCCAATTCTTTTGGAGATTGCTAGGTAAGATTGTGGCAGAGGATTGAAGCCTTGTTTATCCTTTCGCCTCTCTAAAACGGATGAGGCGTTTATCATTAACACACTCGCCGTTGTACTATTCTTTGAAACGACATGGTCCGAGTAATTGTCCTCTAAAACCATCAGGAAGCAGCGTTGAGAAGAATTTGACATGTGATGATGTTTGTTTTTATTACACTTCACCAATCCCACGCTAGAAAAGAACCAAATAATCGTGTTAAACCCGATAAACCTTGAGATTATTACTTTTGACATTACAGCAAAAAAAAAAAAAAAATAGATATGAGAACATATTAAAGCAGCTCTATGTAACTTTTTCAACCTTTATAATATTTTTCCAAAACCCCTGAGATGGTACATTGACTTACAATAGGTTGAATGACAGGTCTACCATAGCCTGACAGTGTCTGTATTGCTTTTATTGGCACTATGTAACTTCGGGGTGCGGGTAGGAACCAACAAAACTAAACACTACAAAACTAGGAACTACAAAATCCGCTTTACGGCATACGTCACTTCCCCCACTTCCTCAAATTCCAACGGGAGAGCTCAATGAGCGTTTTTTTCCCCTGTATGTTGTCATGGCTGAAGCAGCAAGTAAAACCAAGAAGCCAAAAGTTTTGTCAGAGGACAGTAGAAAGAGAAAAAGGGAGAGTGGCTAAATAAAAGGCTGGACGAGGATCAATATTGGTCCAGCGTTAGCTTGCTGGCGTGAGCCAGAGGAGGAGAGGTGACATCAAAAATGTCATAATGGGGCTTTAAACAACAATCAGGCATTTTCATTTAATTTCATGAACATTTTGATTAAACATGGACCTTTATTTTCTTTAAAAGGCTTATTTCTGCCGGGACAGACGTACCTGCTAAGCCAGATTTGCCTCTCGTCCATCTTCGGAAGCAGAGATGTGTGCAAAAGTTACCAAAAATGTTGTGCACACCACCAAGCGAAATGGGGTCTCATGAAAAAAATTAACATAATGAAATTATGAAACCAAGGGTTTGTCTCAAAAATTGGGATCAATTTTTCGTGTGGGATGGTTGACTAGTTGTGGGGCAATTAATGAAACCAATTTTATTTTCAACACAAACATTTAAATGGAGAAAATCACCTTCTAGAGGCTAAAAATGGTGTGAGAAGGAACACCACGATTAACAAAATAAATGTAATCAATTGATTTATTGAAAAGTTCAGTCGTCTGGGAATTTATGCAGTCGTGTTTCGTCTTGTGTTTACAGAGCAAACGGTTGCAAGAGAGATCACAGTGCGACAGGACGAGCCGTATGGTGACATCATCATTTCACAGCCATAGATCGATGGTAAACCGATGATGACTTGCCATTATTCTCAGACAAAACTGGTACGACTTATTAAATCAGTGTTCATGTTTATGAATTTTTAAACAACTGAAAGTCCTTTAGTTGTATTAACGTGTTATTGATGGTTTAACAGATTTTTGTCATTGTTTATTTAATATTGTGATATTTTGTAAAGAAGTTTCGTCTTTTAAAGAATGCAATGAACTCTTGCTACTTTTCAATGTTTTCTATATTATTCTGATGATACCATGTTTGTTAAAATAGTCCTGTTTTTATCATAATATTAAATGTTGTTCTCTGTGTTAGCATGAGGCATTACAAAATATAGTTTTCTTCTTTTATTACAAACTCTTATCTTTACAGGTTCAACAACACAACTATGCAATATATATTTATCAGGTTGTTTTGGCACAAAGTACTTTAGGCACTAGATTTACCACAAATACCAGCATAGACAGAAGTGAATATGCCAAATTACATTTCAAGTTATTTCACATATCTTCATAATAGATCGGGACAATCAACCTTTGTCATGAATATCAAAATCACAATTCAACTGAACCCTAAAATTGTACTCATTGTAGAACACCTGTCACATAAAAAGTAAAATGTTCCTCACTAAAATGTCTTAGCTCTAAATATCAGTGCAAAAATCACCAGAGACATGTTTGCTAAACCCAAAAAACATTTCTTGGAAAATAAGCCCCTGAAAAGAAAAACATGCAGCTCGATTTTGCTCGTGTAGATGCAAGAAAAGTAGACCTTTCAGAATAAACCGTTCTATAAAAGTTACTGTTAGAGTGAAGCAGATTAACCAAAATAATAGTGTTATAATATAGAGTACAATTATAGTGTCTAATAAAGGAAAAACATTATCTTCGGCAAATGCTCTAATTTACTTTAAAATACTGTTTCTCCAACATGGTAAAAATGCTTATTCCCTTCTCTTAACTAAACTGATTTATTAAGGAACTGTGCAGTTTTTAGCAGCGAATAAGACTGAATATATTGTTTTATTCTATTTTGTGAAAACCCTTTTTTTTCTTTTATTACACAACCACTTTTTAGCATCAAAGCCTCCTGAGAATCATCCAAACTCATAATCGGAGATGAGTTGAGAAAGCTGTCTTTCAGGGGAATTGTCACAATAACAACACTGGCTGCCTGAGGAATCAAATAATGAAATGGTGGAATTCAATCTTGCTAATAGGTGTATCTTGACAAAGGCGTGTCTTCTAGGAGATCGTCCTGCAAAAAAAAAAAGCAATTACATTTTTTTACTTTAGATGCCTGTGGATTTGCAAAACATTCCACATCCAAATTAAAATGCTAAAACTCAACATCGTTATTTTTCGTGTCAGTGCTGAGCAGTCGCCCAATCACAACAGACTGTACCATCTGTCCAATCAGAGCAGAGTAGGCTCTCAGAAAAGAGGAGTTGAGAGAGAGAAACCGAATCATTTATCGTTTAGACACTGAGAAAAGAGGTGATGCTACAATGTATATAATGAGACAATTAAAGTGCGTGTAAACCTATTCATACTTTGCACGTGACGTCACAATTACTGGCTGGTGGGCAAGAACGCCGTTCTTCAGCAACGAAACCCTGAAAACTAGTCAAGGATCTTGCTAGGACGTCGCCAGTTTTTATACAAAAGCTTGTGTTTCGTGGTGTTAATGACACAACAGATAGTTGCGATTGGTTGCACTAACCAGAGATGAGATAAGCAATCTTCACAGTATAACGTCCCAGATAGAAAACTGACATTGAATCAACGTGGAAATATGACATCGAAACAACGTTGATCTGACAGTTTTGCTCATCGAATTAACGTTGAACCAACGTCAGACGCGTCATTCTTTCAAAACTAACGGAAAATCAACTTGAAATCAACGCGTTGTTTCAACGTTATGAAAGCAAACCAATTTTCGATTTTCATTTAGCTTTGAAGAATGCCGCGTCTGACGTTGGTTCAACGCTAATTCGATGAGCAAAATCAACGTTGTTTCAATGTCATGAGAGACGTCGTTTCCACGTTGATTCAATGTCAGTTTGCTGTCTGGGGTTACACGTCTGTGCAGTGATCATTCCATCACTTTCAATTTATTTCAACATTTGTTTGAATACAATGGGTGTTTGATCATTTAATTAATCGTGTCTTTAAGTTAACCTGTAGTTTCGTCAATCAACGCCACCAGCTGATTTGGCGAGTCAGCTGTTTGTGTTATGAGGCTAACTGTACGTTCACACCGCCGCCGTGAGAGCGGCAAAATTCATTGAAAAATGAATGGCTGTGTCCTAATAGAATAGAAACACCACTTTCGGACACTAATCGATCGTCTCTCGGCACCGTTGATTACGTCATTGCTGTCGCACTATTTAAACGTGTGCATGCTTGCAAACAATACATGTCTGACAAAATTGTAAAACTAACTACATATAAGTTAAACGAGACAAAACATAACTTACATTTGTATGACAAATTTGTATTGTCGCGCTGCTCCCCTCTCCATGGTCCGTCCGCCATTTTTACGATCGGCGCAATGCATGAGTGACCATCGGTTGTACACTACTTTTCAAAATTCATTCTGGGATACATTGAGAGGACTATATAGGGTATAATAATCATCATTATACATTCGGACAGCACTACAAAATGGCGAGCTCACTATATAGTCCACTATATAGTGAGTAGTGGGAGATTTCGGACACAGCCAATGACTTCTGGGCACTTTGACGCTCTCGCCGGTGGCGGTGTAAACGCAGCTGTCTTATTTTGCTAACAACAACAAAAGTGTGTGATAGGTTGTATTGAGGCTTGTGATCTCTATAGTTTTCAATGAGAACTGTAGAGCTACTGTTATATAATTGTATAATTATTTTGTATATATATATATATATATATATATAAATACACAGACATGCATGTATATTTAAGAAAAAAAAATAATTATATATAAAATATTTATATATAATATAAATTATATATAAATCTATATACATGAAAATATTTCTTAAAGGGTGCAGAAATATGTAAATATAAGTGAAATTGGCATGAGACTCACCATAGGGAGGTCTTGAAGCCGGTGGAATTCTGGATGCTCGTTCCGCTGGCGGAACCGGAGGAAGAGGACGGCCGAGACCATGGCAGTGCAAATGATGAAAACGGTGACCAGAGCCGCAAGCAGGGGGTCCAGGGGTGATGAAGGGCGGTGAGGAGCCTTGCCCGATTCTGGAAGATTGATGAATCGAGTGGAAACAGATTATCACTAGCACAGGAACTAATAAAACCGAAGGAACATAATGGAGCTCTGCACAGACCACAGAAGTAGATGTAGATGGAAAAATAATTCAATTATCATCTGTCATTGTGCTTATTAGACCTCTACTGCAAGACCAAAGACACCACTCAAACCTATCAAACATATTCTCTCTCTCATACTAGAAGAGTATCTTTCTGGCCTTAGTCAAACAGAACATGAAGGGTCAGTTCACCCAAAAATAAAAAAGATTGAAAAACATTTTTTTAAAAAGGCAGGGCTGCAATTGACCATATTTGAGTGAAAAAGCCTAAATTAAATCTGCTCATAACATAAAGCGATCGTTTCTCTTCAGAAGACTTGCATTAAACCACTTGATTCATATGGATAAATTTTTCAATATCTTGTGGTCTGGGTTCGAAAGTCTCATGGGTTGGAAATTACATGAGGTTGATTAACTGATGACATTTTTATTTCCGCGTGATCTATCTTTAAACTACATGGCAGGGAAATATTTGCTATATCCACACACCTTGATCACCAACGTCCAGTTCAGAGGGCTCGTCCTGGTCTTCTGAAGGAGCGGGTCCAGTGACCTCTGAACTGCTGGTCAGGGCAAACCGAGATGTCTGAGGGTTACTGGGGGTGAATGATGGAGCTGTCTGTGTTGTCTGGGACGCACTGCTGCTTGAGGTGGAGAAGGTCTGATGTCCTTCGCTTGGACTGATGGATGTTGCCGGAGCTGTGGCTGTTGAATCTGAAACGGTGCTCTTCACATAAGAAAGAGATGAGCTGCCGCCAACAGAAAAACCTGCAGGAGAAAAATTGGCACAGAAACACAAGCTTTGAACATAGAAGGAAAAAGCAGTGAAGGTAAGATTTTAAGTTTTTTTAAAAGTTGTGAAAAGCATGATGGAGTATCTAGACAGTATGTTGAGTGGTGCTAATATAGTGTGTGTGTGTGCAGTGTCAATTTCATGAAAAGTTCATTAAGATGAATAACAAAGATGAATCTAATTACCACTATATGGGCCCATTCAAAGTGATTTCAAATGTATTCTTCTGGATGTGTAATAAATCGGTCCGCATCAGCCCGCCCCTTTTTCCTAATATGGTTTCTGTGTAGCTATATCAAATCTAGAGTGCTACGCGCGTACATAGATATGTATATAATGGCTAGATGTGTTACGGCGGAGTTTCCATCGCCATCACCGGCGGCCATCTTGTCACAGACAAGTTGATGTAAGATGAATGGTCAGCACGAACACAAATACTCTTATCTCGTTGAAATCTTGACGGATTTACAAACGGTTTGGTTTCTTACAAACGTTATTAACGTGGCTATAATTATCTGGATGATTATTTATTTATACACTTTTTATTCATAAGTATGCAGTGTCATAACTACATCTCTGACGTTTATAACAAAACAAAACAAACCGTTTGAAAATCGGTAGAAAATTGAGCAAGTTATGGTCATTTAAATAGTGCATGTACACAATGTTACGAGTGAGCGAGCTGCCTGTGACAAGATGGCCGCCAGGTGCAGACGTCGACCTCCATTGGCCAGCAGCGTGGACGACATTCTAGCCTTTATATAGATATCTATGCGCGCGTATGGGCTTAGCTGCGAATTCAGAGCATTAACTTAAGTTGCGTCAGTGTAACGTTATCGATACCTAGCCTAGTCTAATCGTAAAGTAGTTGGCTAACGTTACTGCCTGCCATACAAAGCCAATAAGCCATAATAACGTTATCTGATCGGTTTTGAAATATCTGTTCTGTTTTGTCTTGTGTCGAAGTCTCCAGCTGGTTCAACTGTTTTCAGTTTCATAGAAATGAGGGTGTTTAATTTGTTGTGGGCTAATTGCAAAATCCAACCTAACGTTATCTAGGCATCGACTTGATGTTTCTCCCATAGACTATTATTCACGGTTCTTCACATATCAGGCAGCTAATTCAAATCATAAATTACTTATTTAAAATATAATATTTAGCAGTGTAACTAGTATTTCAATGATTTTACTTAAGTAATGTTACATATTACATTTGATGTGATTGCTGTTTTTACATTTCTGTCAAATATTAACCATTTACAAGTAATCATTTTAATAATTTCTTTCAAAGTCCTTCATCACATTTTAATATTAAAATAACTTAATTTCAGAGCACCACAAAGTTGGACCTCAGCACCTTTATATACCTTTAATGTAAGATCTTTCTTAGCCTAGGTCACATACCAATTTAAAATCATCACATAAAAATTGCAATGGTACTGTTTTTAAAATCATGTGTAGTGTATAGTAAGTAAGTGTGTGTGTGTAAACATGCTTTAATGAAGCAGACTTTAAAAGCTTTTGAATTTGAGCTTACAGTTCTTTCATCAACCTGTCTTTGACATAAACTTACAAAATAGATACTTCAACGTAGTGCTCAGATAGAGGAGGGTTGCTGCTAGCTCCTTTAAGGTATTTCTGTGCCTCCCAAACTGCATTGAAATGGTATGCTTAGAAGCCAGAATGTAAACATTTTCAGGGGGAGAAACCCCCTAACATGATCCATATCACCCGTCAGAAAACAATTGCAACGTCTCAGATTGTGCGCCCCCAGAATTTGATAGACAGATAGATTGGTAGACAGACAGACAGACAGATAGATAGACAGACGGATAGATATACAGGCAAACAGACAGATAGACAGATAGACAGATAGATAGATAGATAGATAGATAGATAGATAGATAGATAGATAGATAGATAGATAGACAGATAGACAGATAGACAGATAGACAGATAGACAGATAGACAGATAGATAGATAGATAGATAGATAGATAGATAGATAGATAGATAGATAGATAGATCGATAGATATCATTAGGCATAGGTTTTGAATAGCAATTGGGCTAGTTTTGGTTTGCAACCCTGTTGTCCCTCCTTCAGTGTTTATTTCCTGCCAGGCAAGTTTCGAAGAACTTCTGTTTTGAAGTTGTTTTCAACAGTAATACTTAAGGTCTGGCATAGGTGCAGTAAACCAATAAGTAGATATTCAACTGCCCTAAATATAGCTGTGTTTCCAGTGAAATGTTTGCTATCCACTATAATGTTTCCAGTATGAGAGAGGATATTATTTACAAGCACAGTCGCGTTCCAAAATGTTACGCCCACATCCAGCCATTATTTACAGATAGACGTCTGATCAAGTGGGTGGAATGTGACACTTTCCCAGAGAGTCTCTTGAGTTCAGTCTTGATTCTGTCACATAAAGCCCAGTGTTTTATCTCTAAAGTGGAACAAAGTGATGCGCACACACACATGAATAATTGTATTCATACAACGATATGCGAGTAATGCCACTATATGTGTTTTGACCAATATGGGTTTTTCGATGTCAGATGTGAATGGAAACATCTAGAGAGCAGCGTGGAAGATGACTGTGATAAAGCCAATATACTGTATAATGATGGCAAATGATTGAAATTTCTGGAAAAAAAATGTGTTTAGTAATGAATATTTCCAACATGAGCACTAACCAAAAAGCCACAGCTCTTCCTAAAGCAAAGTAACACATTTAAAGCAAGTAAAAAAATACATTTTCAATACGTTTAGAAAAAAATATGGTAACACTTTATTTGATTGTTTCCTTGTTACATTATGTTACATGTACTTATAACAATACATTATGCATAATCCTAAACTAACCCTATAGTTAGTACATGTTGTTAATTATTATTACTCAGTACTTAAATATATAATTACACTGTAACAATGACACCTTAAAATTAAAGCAGCACTATGCAGTTTTTTTTTTACCTTAAAGGTGGGGTACGTGATTTTCTTTTTTGACCATTTTTTTTTCAAAATCCTGTTCCTAACCCATGTACAGACACTGAGTTAGAAGCACTGAAATGAAAATGAAGGAATTTAATCATCATCGAAAAACTAATCAAATCCAATCATTTCCAAGACAAACTAGAATCATTGGACAGTACGTCAATCAAACGGTCGTACCATACCCCCCTCCCCTGATCGCCTCGCCATCAGGAAGTGTCGCGTGATATCAGGTCTCGCGATGTAACGAATTGTTTTATTGCAAGAAAGATCTGCTAAAATAAACATCAAACAGAAATAACCTGGCGCCGTATACATGCGGTGTTCGAGGCGCGTACAATACAGACTGCCGACAGTTCAACAGGGTGCAGCTCTTAAAGGGGCCACACCTTATTTCCACTCATTACAACTTAAAGGGACAGGGGGAGGGGATCATAAGTGCTATTTACGACAGTACAAGTACTCCACTAAGGATGGGCAACGATTAATCGCGATTAATCGCATCCAAAATAAAAGTATGTGTTTACATATTATTTGTGTGTGTAGTGTGTATAATTAATTTGTATATATAAATACCCACACATGCATGTATATATTTAAGAAAAATATGTTTTTAATATATCAAATATTTATATTTATATATAATATTAATTATGTATAAATATATATAAAGTATATACATGCAAATATTTCTTAAATATATACATTCATGTGTGTGTGTTTATATATACAAATTAATTATACACACTACACACACATATATTATGTAAACACAAACTTTTATTGTGGATGCGATTAATCGTTGCCCATCCCTATTATACTCTACAGCAACTCTAGGGGTCACAGTTTGACAAAAAAACGGAAATCCTGCGTAGTGTGGCTTTAAGTGTAACCAATACTATTAGTCCAGTCTTCACATTTAATTCAATGCGCTACTTGCCGTATTTTGTCATTATTTGTGTAATTCACTCGCAGTTTCTAAATGAATTTTTCGTTTCAGTGCAGAGCTCTGAATTCGATCTTTTCAATTTTAAAATTTAAATCCTTTCAACTCTTCAAAACTGTTAATTTTTCAGCCTTATCTGCCCCTTGTCCATATTGTTGTTCTCAACCCAACGGATGGCAAATTTGTTTTCAAGGCCAAGTTAGACTGATTAATGACAGATAGCATGTGCAATTAGATTAGGTTTAATTAGATTAGTCTTGCCTGGCACTGAGACTGTGTCCGTGTTGAGGGTGGTGGTGGTGACATCTTGTGGGGCAGGGGTCTGTGAGATGGCTGGTGACGGAGAGCTGTCATTGGATGGTTGTGATGGAGGAGCAGCCGTAGGTGTGACCTCACCGCTTGACACATCAGTCGGAGGAGGAGAGGCTGTAGGGGGTCCTGATTCCAAAATATCACTTTTTGAAGTCACGTGATCTTCAGGAAGGACTTCATTCAGAAGGGATGTGGATGAATCTGTTGTCTGACCTTGGGGAGAAGTAGAAAGTATCTGAATGAGCAAACATGTTCGTTTAGAATGTATTAATTACAAAACGTCTACATTACAGTCTACAACCGCACTTTTTAGATCTAAAAAAAAGAAGGGAAAAAAGAAATATGCAATGTTTATTTGCTACAGGAAGAACGCTGCTTGTTCTCATGCTGAATCGGTTTACGTGGGCGTTCCAGACCGGATCTGTACAGCAGAGTTTAATGGTCACACAGTGAATCCACAGAACAAAGCGGTTGTGACCTTTATATGTCAAGAAAGAGCAGAGGAACAAATAAAACAGATAAAATGCGCACGTGCACAGGGTTTTGAAGATTTAGAAGATAGAAAAGAAGATCACCCAATCACTATTCTCTGTTACAGCATTAACCACTTAGTGACCGGTTCAACTATAGTTAAGAGATGCATGAACAAAAGAAACAAACAATAAAACAAACATTTTGTAAATGCAGACAGGTCAAATTTGAACCCATGTCTCCCACATCAGCCTACGTGTTCCAAAACAAAAGTGAATGAAATTAACAACATAAACCGAGATCTTACTTCAAGAATATAATTAGCACTTAACATACAAATATTCAAATTGGAGACCAAAAACATTTCAGTTACAAAAGTATTTCAAAATATAATAGATGAACTTGTTTTTTTTTTCTGTTCCCAAATATATTGTTTCTAATTTTATCTTTTCAATTTGCATCATTGTAACATGCAAATTGCCAATGACATTTTCAAAGGATAGATCTCTCTCTCTCTCTGTGTGTGTGTGTGATCCATGGATGTTAAAGGTTCGTTACACTATTATTTCAACCCAAATTTGGGTCAGATATTGATAAACCCAGTAATTAGGTCACCGTTTTTTAAATGACATTTTTAACCCAAAGTTTGGGTTTGTCCATATTTTACCCAAAAGTGGGTTAAAACAACCCAGCATTCAAAGCCAATAATGAACCTTTAATTGTAAACCAATTTTCTTCCACTAAAAAACCTTTTGTGTAATTGAAAGGTCCCATGTTTTCTGAAAAATAAAGCTTCCAAAGTTTTTTTGTTTTTGTTTTTTGCATAGAACAGTTTGTTTCCCCAAATAACCTTTCAGTGATCAGTTCTTAAAAGAAAATTTTTTTTAATGTGAAGAACATTTTAATAATACAACATTTTCCACAATAAAGAATCCTTAGTGGTTCAATTAGAGGTTCTTCATCAATCAATGCCAATAAAGAACATTTACTTTAAAAAAGATAGACAGACAGACAGACAGACAGACAGACAGACAGACAGACAGACAGATAGATAGATAGATAGATAGATAGATAGATAGATAGATAGATAGATAGATAGATAGATAGATAGATAGATAGATAGATAGATAGATAGATAGATTTAGTCCCATAATGTTTCATGTATAGGCTACATAATGTAATTAAAATTAGGACTTAAATAATGATGAACCGAAAAACCATGCGAGCAAGACAAAGCCAGCAGAGACTGTCACATTACAGAATCATGTTGCCAGGTTTCTTACTAGAAATCAAGTAAATCATAAGCCATGTGCTTACCTTTTATGACAGATAAATGAAGAACCGTCGCAGTCCATATAATAAAGGCGCTTTGAGTCCTCATGTTAAGATAAAGCGACTCAAAGCGAGCGCGCTCAGACACCGTGTAGATTCGCTCTGTGATTCCCGGGATGATCTTTCCGTTAGATGACAGCGGACATCGTCAGTGCTAAAAATATCTCGAGGGGTCTGGGCTTCAAGAGCGGGGTGTGGTTAACCGCAACCTATGGTCTAAACGACAGCTTATTTATAAAGAGAGCAAAAGGACCACTAAACCGTTTGAATCGCATCGAATTGGATGTAAGGGACCGAGTGAGTGAACTGGCTCGAGACAGGCAAGTGAAAGACGTGTAGCGTCAGTCCTGTCAGCTGTTATTTAGTGCGACCCACGTGTATGTGTGTGTGGACCATCCCGTCAGAGCTGCCCATTACAGACACATGACCTGACGAGACTCCACAAACACCCCCTTAAAACGTACCACTGAATACTGGCTGTCACAGAGCACAAGAATAGGATTTAATAAGGAAGATAATTGGGAATGGAGTCAGTGAATGCAGAGGAGTTCACAGTGGAGGCGGTGGAGAGGGTGAGTATGTGACATACAGGAGCTGGATGACCAAACTGACTCACAGAAACACATGTCACTCAACCATTTGTGTATGAGCTAACAAACGGTGACTAATAACTTTTTACTTTTACAGTCTCGTAATTGTTAAAGGTAAAAGAGAAATGGCATATTTTAGATGGTCTACCATTTCTTTCACTATTGCAGCTCACTTAAAGGGATAGTTCACCCAAAAAGGAAAATGTTGTCATTACTTATTTCACCTAAAGTTGTTCCAAATCTGTATGAGCCTCTTTCTTCTGTTAAGCATAAAATAAGATATTTTAAAGGGAACCAAACAGTTGACTTGACGGCACTCATTGACTTCTATAGTTAGGAAAAAAATGCAATGGAAGTCAATGGGTGCCGTCAACTGTTTGGTCACCAACATTTATTATTATTTTTTTAAATCTCTTTTTTGTGTGTTAAACAGAAGAAGGAAACTCATAAAGGTTGGTCTGAATGACCAAACAGCTCTTTAAATATAGGCTACTTTACATTAAAGTAACACGCTGAAGATTAGAACTGGTTAAAAAAAGTCAACATTATGACACACAAAAAGTCTATTGAAAATTGTGTTTAAAGGGGTGATGAACTGATAAATCAAATTTTCCTTGAGCTTTTGACATCTAAGAGGTCATCATATTATAAGAATAAGTTTCAGAACTGAAAACGTCCTTGTTAGTCCAATAAAAGGCCAGGCACCAGACTTATTGACACCATGCCCAGCAAACAACTCGTTTTTCAAAGTGGGGAACTATGACGTCAAAGAGGATAAAACACCACCCCTGCAGAAGAAGAAGATCAACGCCTACTTCAACACGGCCGCTTTAGCCCCGCCCACCGATTCGCGCATTACACTCATAGCTAAATAACACCTACCTCGTGATGACAAACCGAATCGAGCTACCGATCGATACAAAATATTGTGCAGTGTCTAGTTGTGGAAGAAGACAGTTGCTGCATACGCTTCCTCTGGATTACAAAAGGACTGTATGGTTAAACTTTCTTTTTAATGACGTTCCAGCTGATGAGGTAAAACATTGTCGGTCTGTTCGCTTCATTTCACTGAGGATTGTTTTGTAAACAAGACTGGATTTGCAGACCGATTAACATATATTGGATCTGACAGGAATGGTGCAACACACGGATTCTGGGTCGAACATGTATGGGCGAATTATTCCGGTTGCCATTTTACAACATTGGACGTTTTCAAAACAATTTCCACCAAGTGCATCGACGGGTGAGTTGAAACTCATTATAATATGCAAAACTGGTATCCACTCACAGCAGTGGGCGTTTACTTCCAACTCTTCAGTGCGAGACGCCAATAAAAACCGAGCATTTTTCAGCTAAACTCAAATCTGGGATAGAAAATAGCCTATTACTTATTAATTTTGATGTTTTTGAATTCAAAAACCAAGCGAACATCATAAGTTGACCTCAGACAACAATATAATACAATTTAAAAAGCCAGTTCATGACCCCTTTAAAGGTTTTGGTGGAATATCACATACCACACTGCAGAACACTTTTGTCACTGCTTGACATTTCATGAAGCTTGAGAATTCTGAAGAGGTCTGAATGCTCACACTTTGTAACACATCTTTCCCTCATCGGTCAAAATGACCCGAAGCCTTAAAATTGAACTTACTTTTTTTCTTTTCTTTTTTTTTTTTTTTGATGGTATTTTGTTCTGTATTTTAATATTTTAATGCAATCTTTTGGAGATTATTATAATATTTCTTTACCTTTAAATGACTAGATTTGATTAATAAATAATAAATAAATAAAGAGTCATTTAAATTCCAAAATAACAATTTCATGCTTTTTAATTCTGCTCAAAATAACCTTTATTGGGTGTCTTTGCCGACCTCTTGTAGCATAATAATAAGATAACATGATATTTCATGACTCTTGTCCCTAGATGAACTTATAGCTCTATGTGGAGCAAATGAGGTGTTCCGCTGGGTCCTAAGTTAAAATTTGGAGCATTTTTTAGGTTTTTCTATGTGTAGTGAAGCATTCCTCGCATTACATTCATTTCAAAGGGGGCCAAATTGACCCGTTTCTTTTTTTAATTAAAAAACACAAAACTCCTTGAATGGACTAGATTGTGTGTGTGTGTGTGTGTGTGTGTGTGTTCGTGGTTCAAGTTCTACAATAGTGCTATGGTCTCCTTGGACCCCTCTGATGAACACTCAATAAAAAAAAATAAAATAAAAAAATTGTTTCGGGTGAAAATGACCTGAGGGAAGGATGAGGGTTACGATTTTTGAAAAAAATGCAGTTGAAAGTGGATCGGACCAAGCAACACAACACAGCCAATCAGCAGTAGGGGGCGTGTCCACTCATGATTCATCTCCATGCTTCCTAGTTATTCGTTCATCATCTTCGCTTTATTTTTCGTAAAGCATTATTTTACTTCACTTCTGCTGTGATGTTTGTGCATTTTGGGGGCGGAGCAATGAAGGGAGGGATGTGTTTGTTTGGGTTGATTTCAAATATCCACAGTGTTCAAGTCATCTCATCACGATGACTTGTTTGATTTAGTCCTCAGTTGTAAGTCGCTTTGGATAAAAGCGTCTGCTAAATGACTAAATGTAAATGTTCAACAACAATTTTGAAAAATGGCATACTGCAAGAGCAGTATCTTTTGATTTGGAGATTGCTTGTGGCCTCTTTTTCTTCATATTCCCATAATTCCACAGTTGAGCAAAGCCATACACACTTGTAAGTGTGTGTTCTTGTGCAGTTCGAGACAATATAGGAGCTTCTGGAAGTGGAAAGTAACTCGATATCCTCAGTAAGCTGTCCGAGTCTAATAATAACTTTCAGCATGTGGGGAATTTAATGACTGGTTTATATTATGCTTCTCCATTGTGTCCTGTGATTTCTGTTGCATCTACTGTATGCACTCAATACACATTTTTGGGGAAAGAATATGGTAATATTACTAGGGATACACCGGAATTTGGATTGTTTGGCCGTGATGAATGAATGTATGAATTACGATTCTGGATTGTCCCAATAAAGCTGCATTTGAATCTTCAACCCAAGTATCTAAGCAGTTCTTAACAAAAGATTAAAAAGGTAATTTATTTCTGTGATGCAAAGCTGGATTTTCAGAATTATTATTACTTTTTAGTCTTAAGTGTCACATGATATCTCAGAAATAATTATAATATGCTGATTTGCTGCTCAAGAAACATTTATTATTATTACCAATGTTGAAAACAGTTGTGCTGCTTAATATTTTTGTGGAAATGTCATTCCAAACAAAAGTTTGATGTATTTAAAAAAGGGGTGCATTTTTTTATTAAGAGATGCATTAAATTGTGACAGTAAAGTAATTTATAATGATAAAAAAAGGGGTTTCTTATCAATGAATCCTGAAAAAAGAAATCATTTTCCACAAAAAAAAAAAAACTTTGAGTGAAGACCAAAGCAATGGTTGCTTTATTTTTTAACATTATAAATGTCTTTACTTTTTATCAGTTCGATCCATCTTTATTGAATAAATATACACAAATATATATATATATATATATATATATATATATATATATACAGTGCCCTCCACAATTATTGGCACCCCTGTTTAAGATGTGGTCGAGGACTTTTAAAAATTCTCCCTTTTTTTTAAACAACACAGAACCCAAATGCAAAAAAAGAGAAAAATCCAACCTTTTATTTAAGTACATTACTTTGGTGGTAAAAAAAAAATTAAAATGTAAAAAAATAAAAACTTCAAATCATGTGTGCCACAATTATTGGCACCCCTGATGTTAATACTTTGTACAACCCCCTTTTGCCAACAAGACAGCACTTAATCTCCTCCTATAACATTTCACAAGATTGGAGAACACAGAGAGAGGGATCTTTGACCATTCTTCTTTGCAAAATCTTTCTAGATCATCCAGTATCCTGGGCCCTCTCTTGTGCACTCTCCTCTTTAGCTCACCCCACAGGTTTTCGATTGGATTGAGGTCTGGGGACTGAGATGGCCATGGGAGGACCTTGAGTTTGTGACTGAACCATTTTTGTGTAGATTTTGCCACACGTTTTGGATCATTATCCTGCTGAAAGACCCAATGACGACCCATCTTCAGCTTTCTGGCAGAGGCCATCAGGTTTTTATTTAAAATGTCCTGATAGTTCAAAGCGTCAGGGGTGTAAAGTAACGAATTACAAATACTCACGTTACTGTAATCAAGTAGTTTTTTTTAGAAATTGTACTTTTTTGAGTAAGTTTAAAATTGTGTAATTTTACTTTTACTTGAGTACATTTTAAGTGATGTATCGGTACTTTTTCTCCGCTATTTTCCTTCTGTTTGTGGCCGTTACTCGTTACATGCTTGTTTTAATTTTATTTTTATCCATCAACGTGATTGGATCGAGTAATCGGTCTCGTGACTGTCATCAATTCAAATTAAGCATAGAAAACTTACCGCCTATTCCTGCTGTTACTCGTGACTGCTGTGGAAGTGCATTCATCACGCATCAATTCAACCCAGATATCAGCGTCTTCCTCTAATATGCTAAGGTACATTTCACATTTCTGCTTAATATGATATTTATATAGGCTGGCCTGTCTACATGGCCTAACATTTGGTCTGAGGTTGGGGGAATTGCGAGACGAGTTCATAATGCGGTGAATTCCCGCTCCCATTTACTTCACAATCACAGGAGAGACGCGCGTCACGATCTGTGAACTGCCGCGTCT